TTTATGGTCACAGTGAAGATGGAACCTTAAGCCTGTTTCCTTCAGATGGGTTAGTTTTGCAGCTTTTTTGTCTGAGCGAGTCAGAGTCATACCGTTGGCTCCTAACTTCTGTGCTTGATTGGATTCAGGCAACCCACCGACTGTGATTCTCGCTGTCTCCTGCGAGAATCACGTTCAGCACGTTCTAACAGTTCCCATGAGGCAGTGGAAGTAGCCTCACCACCCTCTGCCCCAAACTTCACAAATCCCTGTGATTTAAAACGGAGCTGGGCCCAGTGTGGTCTGGGAGCCCTGTGAGTCGCTTGGTGAGGAGTCCTGTTTGTGTAACCCGTGCAGCACTCAGGCTCAGAGAGGGTGGCCCACAGGGAAACAGGCATCATCTGAGCCTTATGACCCCGCCCTACCCCTTTTAGGGCCAGCCTGAGTTGAGCTTTGTGTATAACATGGTGGAGAATGCAGTGTGGAAAGCCACAAGCACTGCCCTGAGACTCCACATCTTCCCGCTGCACTACAAGTCTGGCTTTGAGGCCCAGCTCTGCCCTTTTATGCTGTTGCAGGCAACAAAAAAAGCCTTCTCTCCTTTCTGCCAGACCTCAGAAAGGGCCTATTCATAACTGAGTTGTACTGTGCCCTCCCTAGGAGGTGGGGTGAGGAAGGTTCTGCAGACCTGAGAACAGCTAGAAATCTCAGGCTGCTGCCTTCTGAACACTGGGGTGGTGGGGATTCCAAGGCTAAGCCCTGAGACTTGCAGGAGTGCAGGATCCCTCTGAGTTTGCTTGAATCTGTGTCTCTCAAGATGCCAGGAGAAGGGGCTGGGGATTTAGCTCAGCGGCACAGCGCCTGCCTGGCAAGCGCAAGGTTGTGAGTTCGATTCCAGTACCGGAAACAAACAAACAAACAAAAAAAGATGCCAGGAGAAAGGCTATTGCCAGTCAACAGTTGCGTAGTCCTAAGGCAGTGGTTCCCAGTCTATATTGCAAAAGCTCCTGAAGTGCCCGGCATGCCAGCACACGCCTATAATCCCAGCACTCAGGAAGCTGAGGCAGGAGGATTGCCATGAGTTCAAAGCTAGCCTGAACTACATAGCCAGACTCTATCTCTCTCAAAAAAAAAAAAAAAAAAAAAAAAAGCAAACAAATTCCGAGAGTATTTGTTAAAGTGCAGATAGGGGTGGCTGAAGTATGTGTTAGAGTACCCTGTAATCCTAGCACTTGCCCTTGTACTCAGGAGGCTGAGACAGGAGGATCACAAGTTCAAGGCCACCCGGGGCTACAGAAGTAGCTCTTGTCTCAGATCAAACAAGCAGGTTTTTGAGGAGCGCTGTGATTCGCTAAGTGTGGAATAGAGCCCCAGATGCGAAAGTTAGACAGCTAAGGGTCACATTTTGCCTCAAAGGCTGAGGCCAACCTAGAATGGGTCTCACCAGCCCCTCGCTTGGCTTTATGTAGTACAGCCACGCAGCAGCCAGGCGATAGCTGCAGCCCTGTGACCTTCAGCTTGTTCTCACAGCACCCAGGAAAGTTGCTGGCACACAGCAGACCATTTGAATTACATCAGGCTAAAGTATCAGTGTGCGAGCGTTTCTTGGAGTTTTACGTTATTTACTGGACATGAGGGAGGATAGAAGAAATAAAGATAGGTGGGAAGGAGAAAGAAAATCGTAATTTAAAAATTGTACTTTGAAGCAGATTGTGACTTGAGGACATAAAGTCACCCAAGGTTATCCATATCTGCACTCCCTAGCTTTGTTTGTTCTTTTCTCCCAGGGCCAACCCATTTAAAATCCCGGAAAGATACTGTAAGCCCATCCATTAGCTTAGCTGATAAAGTAGACAGCAGAAATCTGCCTTAAAATAGAAAAACATATTCAGAGATTTCAAGAAATGTTTTTTGGAGAAAACAGATCCCACATTAAAAAAAATAACAAAAAAGCCCAATGGACAAGGCCTGTGCTTTTCTCCTGTAAAGTAGACTATCATTTTTACCTGTAAAATGAGTCACTGTATTTCTACCTATGACCATTAGTTTTTTTTCTGTAAACCAAGCCCAAACTTTCTATAGATTTACAAATTCCACAAATTCCACAAATTTCCATTGCCAAAACCACATAACTATGGTTTTGTGTGCTGCAGAGTATAATGTCTCTTTTTGGAAGGCTCCCACACTATTTCTTTGAGTGTATACTTTTAAAGTTCTGCCTAATAAATACCTGTATGCCTCTCACTGACTTTCCTAAAAGTCCTTTTTCTGTGGTGGAAATCTTTGGAACTGCAACTTACCCTGTGGGTGGGGTGAGACTAGGTTCCTCATCTCTGCTTTGGGGACCCTGTCCTGTGCCAGGAAGATGAGTGGCGTCACCACGAGAAAATGAAGTCTGTTCATTTGGAATACAGAAACCATACATGAAGGCCGGGCGTGGTGGCGCACGCCTGTAATCCCGGCACTCAGGAGGCTGAGGCAGGAGGATCATTGCGAATTCGAGACCAGCCTGGTCTACAAAGTGAGCTCAAGGCCAGCCTGAACTGCATAGCGAGACCCTGTCTCAAAAAGACAAAAAAAAAAAAAGAAACCATACATGGATTCTCCAAATGAGACGGCTGACTATAAGGAGGTCTTAAAAAAGAAATTTTTTTTTTGAGACAGGATTTCATTCTATAGTTCAGTTTGGCCCTGAACTCACTATGTAGCCCAGGATGGCCTTGAATAGTTCCTCCTGCTTCAGCCTCCCGAGTGCTATGATTATAGGGATGTGCAGCCACACCTGTCAAGGAATGCTTTGTTTTTGCATCAAGGCTTATGCAGATCCAGCTTGTTACTCTGAGAGTCCTCTGATCCAAGTTTGTTTAATGTTCTGGAAAGAGTACAGGACATGCTGCAAGAGATGTGAGTGCAGGGGCTGGGGTGTAGCTCAGTGGCACAGCACATGATCAGCACACGTGAGGCCCTGGGTTTGAGCCCCGGCACTTCCCCATCCCTATACACAGACAAAAAGACTGAGTGTAACGAGCTACTGAAGAGCTGTCTTTTTTTCTGGGCTTCCCCATACCTGGTACAATGAGGGCTTGGGAAAGGAATCCCAAATGTACTCTTGCAGCTGACTTTCTAAGGCTTGCCTGTTGTTGCCTCTTGCTTTAGTCTATCCTAAAGAATGCCGTTCTCACACTGGGTCAGCTCTAATTCCCTCATTTGCTATTTTCCCATGAGCTAGAATAGTAACTGGCCCATGCTGGTGATTATTAGATACCTACTGCAGAAGTGAATATTTATGGCTGGTTATAAGGTAAACTAGTGCTTATTGGAACGATACCCTGATAGTAAGGCAGGGGTAGGAGATGAGACTGATGTAATCTTGCCACATGAGGGAACTCTGACAACATCCTGGGCCTTGGTGGCTTTATCAGGATGTCTGACAACTTCAGGGGTGGCTACATTTCTCTTCTTTTAAACATACTATCTTACAAATGGAATGTATATACATTGTAATAGATTTATAAATTTTAATTAAATTTGGTGCTTCCAGCATGCTAAACATATGTTCTTTGTTTCCAGAATCTCACTAGTTCAGGCTGGCATTGGACTATATAGCCTAGGTTAACCTCAAACTCATGGCGATCCTCCTGCCTCAGCCTCCCAAGTGCTAGGATTATAGGTGTGCACCACCATGCCCGGCTAAACATATGTATATTTATAAAACATATAAAAACAAAATAATGAGGCCCTCTCTCCAATAAATAAACCCCTCCCCCTGTGTACATCATTTTCTTCTCATTCCAAAAGTATACAAAATTACCAAATGAATAGAAGAATCACTGGATTGTAGATGTTTTGTTGGTTTTTTTTTAGATTAGGATGACACTGTAGTTCAAATTGACCTAAAACTCTCAAACCTCCTGATTTGAGCAGCTGGGATTACAGGAGTGTACCACCATGCTCAGTTTACATGTAATATTTTCAATTTTTTCTAGTTTTTTTTTTTTTTGAGACACGGTCTCACTGTGTAGCCCAGGCTGGGCTTGAATTCACAGCGATTCTCTTGCCTCAGCCTCCCTAGTGCTGGGATTACAGGCGTGCGCCACCACAACATGCCCAGCCTCAACTTTTTCACTGTGTTTCTCTGTCTTGGGAACAAACACTGTTTATGTAGTGTCTCAGCCCGAATTCTCTACTTATATGTGCAGTAAAGTGTAAAGCATCGTTTTCTGAGGGTTTCGTGATAACAGTGCACTCAACCACTCCCTCATTCTGGACATCCAAGTCGTTTCCTTTGAAATAACTCACACATTTGTATCTGTATTTCTAATTCCTTATGACAAAGTCCCAGGAGTGGAATTACTGGCTCAAAGGTCACGAAGCTCTTTAAGCTTCTTAAACCCAGAGCCAAAATATTTCCTAGACGTTTTCGTGGATTTATACTGAAGGGCACTCTCTTTCAGTGAGATTTGTAACCGCTTTTGCAGAGAAGAGCAGAAAGAGCCTTGGAGGGCATCCCTGCAGCTGCGGCCCCTGCAGCGGAGGGTAAGAAGCACGGGGTTCTACTTGCAGTTCTGCCTCAACTTCCCCTCTGCCTGCAGGTCCACCGTCCTGTTTCCTAATGCTTTGAGTTCTTCGTTTTCTAAGAACGCAGAATAAAAACTGGAGCGGGAATAGGGCAGAGGCTGCCAGCGGGGATGAGGATGGTGATGGGTAGGGGCTCCCCGTGTTTGAGCAGAGAAGAATTTGTCAACAAGAACCCAGCGCTTGGAAATCCTTCATAGACACATCCGCCTATTCTAAAGCGTGCTTCCAAAGCCAGGCAGAATAAGGAAACAGAAGGCTGCTGCCTGGTTGGAGAAGGCGTGTCTGGTTTTCCCTCTCCGGCTAGTGGGCTGCGGCCTCTTTAAGAGCAAAGCCGGGAGCTGGCCCTTTAAATCTGTGTCAGTTTCTCCTGACGTCAGCGGCCCGGCCGGCCGGTCGCCTCGCTGTTTACCGCCGAGCTGCGCCGCTCACTCTCCCGAGTTCCGAGCGCCGCGGCGGCGCGTCCGCCCGCTCTTAAAGGGCCCGCGTCCCGAACAACTCGCCGCCCGCGCGGCGTCCCATCGCCGCCACCCATCACGCCCCCCGCCTCTCGCTCCCTCTCCCCTCCCCTCGCCTGGCGTCCCCGGGCTCCCGGCAACGAGCCGCCCCCAGCGTTCTCACGGCCCCGGCGGGGCGCTGGGGACCGCGGGGCCGAGCTCAGCCCCTCGAGCCGGGGTCCCTTCCCAGAGCCCCGCCCCTGCTGCCCCCCGCGCCCCTCCGCTCGCGGCCCAGGAGCGCCTCCGCGGCCCCGGGGAGGGGACGTTTCCTAATCTCGGGCCGGGGTTAAAGTTCTGGTCCTGGTGAGATGCTGGAACCTGCGGCCGCAGCCGCAGCCCGTCCCGGAGGTGTCCTGTCGCCTGTCGCCGCCGCCCCCACCGCCGCCGCCTCTGCCGCCCTTCCGGGGCCATGTTCGCTCCGGGCTTGCCCTTCTTGGTGCTCTTGGTCGCCTCCGTCGAGAGCCATGCGGGGGTCCTGGGGCCCAAGAACGTCTCGCAGAAAGACGCCGAGTTCGAGCGCATCTACGTGGATGAGGTCAACAGCGAGCTGGTCAACATCTACACCTTCAACCACACTGTGACCCGCAACCGGGTGAGGCTGGGCAGGCTGGGCTGGGGCTGAGTGGGTGAGCAGACAGGGCGAGGCCACCGAGGCAGCCGTCCTGCCGGCTGCGTCCCAGAACTACGCTGGAGCCTCCTCGGCGGTCCTTCCTTTGCCACCAGTGTTTCTCGGAAGCTCCATCTGGACAGATTCTTGTTTTGTTTTGGTTTTCTGAGACAGGATCTCGCTGAGTAGTTCAGCCTGGGTTTGAACTCATTATGTAGCCCACACTGGCCTTGAACTCGAAGCTATCCTCCTCCTGCCTCAGCCTCCCTAGTACTGGGATTATAGGAGTTTGCAGCCACACCCGATTCTGGATAGTTTTTGAAGTTGTCCCTTTCCCTTCTTGTCTTCCACCCCGTCCCTCCGACCAGCTGTGTTCTGAGGGGGCCTGGCCTGTTCCTTCCTATCCTGACCTTCAGAACCTGGCAGTGTGTGTGGTCTGGGTAGGAGAGGGCAAGGAGAGATTGGTCCAGACATGCCCAGGAGATGAGACAGGCCCAGAGCTGAAGAGATTCTCTGGGGAGAAGAATGCAAGACTTTTCTGTCTTCTTCCTGTCTCAGAAAGCCAGTTGGCCTTGTAAGTTAAGGGTGGCAGAAGTAAGGCCAACTGCAAGTTGGGTAGCAAGAGAAAGGGCGTTTGTGCCCTGTGAAAAAGAATCCATCTCACCCTAACAACTTAAACTACTACTACTTCCTCCTCTTCCTTCCTCCTCGCCCCTCCTTCATTCCCCTCTTCTTCCTGTCTTCCTTCCTCTTCTTGCTTTTTTCAAGACAGGAACTCACTGTGCAGTCCAATCTGGTCTTGAACTTCCTATCTAGACAACTGACTGTGGACTTCTGATCCTCCTGCCTCAGCCTCCTGTGTGTACTTGGCTCCACCCTGCATTCTCTTCCCAGCCTTGGAAGTTGAAGTTGAGACTGGGTATAGCTAGGTCTGGGAAGTCTGGCCCCTAGGCAGAGCAGAGTGGGAGCCTTCTTGAAGCTGGGATGCGTCTCCCACTGGCTTTCTCATCTCTCCCCAGAGCTGGATTGATTTACTAGAAAGCACTAGAGTTGTCCATGGACAGTCTTAGATTTTTTTTTTTTTTTTTTCTGGATGGAGAGGGTTTGGTTTCTAGCAAGCCAAGATCTGCCTTCAGTGCTGTTCCCTGAGGTGTGAGTTTCTCCTGCCTGGAGTCCTTCCCTCTCTTAGTCCTATATCTGGGGTCACCCAGATACAGAGCTGTGGTGTCTACTTCTTTGAGAAATGCTACCTTAAGTTCTGGGTTTTGACATCCCATTAACAACTATTACCAGGACTTTTTAAGCTCCCGCTGTCTGGTATACAGTACCTTCCTCTATAGCTAAGAATGAGAACGTCATTTTACAGCAGGGGAAATTGAGGCTCAGAAATGACTTCCCTACAGTCCTGTTCCTGGTCAGAGCTAAAGATGTAACTTGGCTTTCAGCATCTCTTCCTTCCCCACATCATTCCCCTATCCCCATCCCTGCTGGGCCCTGGCCTCAGTTTAGTTGTTGAACCAGAGCCTCCCGCTGGCTTCCTGGCTCACGAGGAAGATGATCACTTCTTGCTGTTCTGTGCGTGTGTGTTGTGTACGTGTGCATGTGTGTGCAGGTGTGTGTATCCTATGCACATGGGTGGAACGGAGTGTCCTGGAGACACCCAAGTCCCTTTCAGTGAGCAGGTCCTGCTGCCCTGCACGCACCTGTGGCCAGGAGTCAGCCTCCTCCGTGCCTTTCCTCTTCCTCGGCACCAGTCCCTCCCGGAGCTGGGCCTTGTCCTGGCAGAGGAGTGTGGATGGCCTCCCAGCCTGGCCAGGACGGATGGGGGAGGAGGGCAGGGCTCACGGTCTCTGGAGCCTTATGTTGGGGCAGGGACAGAGATGTGAGGACCTTTCCTTGTCATCTGCAGACGGAAGGTGTGCGTGTGTCTGTGAACGTCCTGAACAAGCAGAAGGGAGCGCCGTTGCTGTTTGTGGTCCGCCAGAAGGAGGCTGTGGTGTCCTTCCAGGTGCCCCTAATCCTGCGAGGGCTGTGAGTAGGACCTGGGGATTAGGGAGGGGTTGGCCTAGGCCAGTCCTTGCTCAGAACCTCACCAGGAGCCCCGCTACTTCTCCCATTTCCTGTGCCCAAGGCTGGTCAGTGGCCTGGAGGTCAAGCCGGTTCGCTTGGAGCTTGTCAGCCTAAGGCTTGGGCAGTGTGGGGACCTGAGTGCAAGACTTGGGGCCACACTCCTCTGGAGTGGCGGGCTGGCTGGGATAGCAGGCACGGCCTGACTCTGCTTCGCGCTATAGGTTTCAGCGCAAGTACCTCTACCAAAAAGTGGAGCGAACACTGTGTCAGCCCCCCACCAAGAACGAGTCTGAAGTCCAGTTCTTCTATGTGGATGTATCCACGCTGTCACCAGTCAACACCACCTATCAGCTGCGGGTCAGCCGGATAGATGACTTTGTGCTGAGGTCTGTGGGGTAGAGCGAGGGGGACTTTGGGGACCGGCTTCCCTTTCAAGCTCTGGGGGTGACATAGAGGTCCTTCTGTGCCCTGCAGGACCGGGGAGCAGTTTAGCTTCAATACCACTGCGGCCCAGCCCCAGGTAAAATCCTCCATCCTCATCATCTCCATCCTCATCACCCCCACCCCCATCAAGGGAGAACTGGAGTGTGTGAACGCGAGAGCAGGAGGGGTCCATGTGGTCTAGCTAGAAGTTGGGAGTGGTTGCATTCTCCATGGAGGGGCTCTCTGGAAGCAGGAGCTCTGGCCCTAGAGTGGTGAGGGACAGACACCAGGACCCTGCAGAGATGTGAGTCTGGTTGCCATCTTTCCAGCTCTTGCCTGTCAGGCACTATCCTGAGTGCCCAGCAGGGCTGGTTATAGCCAAGGCCCTTCTTCCCGGAGAGCCTAACCTGAGAGGATTCTGGGACCAGGTTCAGGGGGCAAAGAGAGCATCCTTGCAAGATGGATCCTCTGCCCTTCTATGCTCAGTACTTCAAGTATGAGTTCCCTGAGGGAGTGGATTCGGTGATTGTCAAGGTGACCTCCTACAAGGCCTTTCCCTGCTCGGTCATCTCCATCCAGGATGTCCTGGTAAGTTGCTTGTCCTTTTCCTCACCAGTGGGTCGCAGCATCGTTACAGAGAGGGGACAGGGCCCAGGTCCCCATCCATCTGCCTTTCCCCTCCTTTTCTGTAGTGCCCTGTCTACGACCTTGACAACAACGTAGCCTTCATCGGCATGTACCAGACCATGACCAAGAAGGCAGCCATCACCGTGCAGGTAGGACACGCTCCTGGCCTTTGGGGAGACGGGGTTGGCTGACAAGCTGGGTGACTTTCCAAACCCTCCCACTTTTCCTGTGCCCCATTCCTACCCCATCCAAGGCTGAATCTTGGCCCTCCGATACCTGTGACTTTGGGTGCCCCAGTATATGTGAGTTGAACTGTAATCCTGGTCACCCTTGGAGACAGGAAAAAACAGAATTCCCTTTCTTCTCTCTTTATTTCATTCATTACAATGCAAATGAGGGCGCTGTTCAAGGCTGGGTGCTACCTGGCACAGCCTGAGACACCGTCTGTGGCAGGGAGGGGAAGCCATGTGTTTGCTTCATGACATCAAGCTGTGCAGCTAACTGGTGGGCAGTGTGCTGCCTACCTCTGCCTTTTCTTCTGGCTGATGCCGTGTGCGACACTTACACATTTGCTCACCTGGCCATAATGTAGGTTTGGTTTGAGCCAGATAATCCTGGTTCTTCCAGTGATTGGCAGTGACCGCTGCTCACTTCTGAATCTGCCCAACACAGGTAATAATGGTAAAATGGTATTTCTCTTAGGAATCTTTATGGGAGCTAGGCGCAGTACCATATGCACATAATCCCAGCTACTTGGGAGGCTGAAGCAGGAAGAGCTGCAGCTTCTGTCCCTCATGTGTAAAGATCTTAGCGTAGTATCTGGCTCCAAGTAAATATCAGGAAAGAATGGTGGCCACGCCCATGATGCTTCTCCTGTCCCTCACCCTGCAGCGCAAAGACTTCCCCAGCAACAGCTTCTACGTGGTGGTGGTGGTGAAGACTGAGGACCAGGCCTGCGGGGGCTCCCTGCCTTTCTACCCCTTCATGGAAGGTACGCTTTGTGCCCTGCTGCTGGCTGAGGTTGGGGGCTGCTTGGTGGCTTCTTGGGAGCTGGGAGAGTCTATGTGGCAGTTAAGAATCTGATTGGATGTGGGGTTCTAGCGCCGGACTCTCCAAAGCCGGGTGCCACCAACTGTCCCCAAGCTCCAAGCAGCTACTTCTTTGCCACTCTGGCATTTTACTTCCAGATGAACCGGTTGATCAGGGGCACCGCCAGAAAACCCTGTCAGTGCTGGTGTCCAAAGCAGTCACATGTGAGTGTGGGTGACTAAGTGGGATGGGCAAGCCACCCGGTCTTTTCCTCCCAGACCCAAGGGCGAGGATGTTCCCCACCCGGGCACGGGCAGGGCAGCAAGGACCTACCCAGGCAGGCTGGTGGAGTGGGGGCAGGTGTCCCTGGCAGGGAGGTGGGTTCCAGTGTGGAGGGGACAGAGTCTGTGACACGAGCCTGAAGAGATGAGTTCTAATCCACTCTGCACTTACGGGCAGTGTGATCTCATTAGGCTTCGAATTCCCTGTCTCTGTAAGGGAACTGGTGAAGTCAGTCCTATTAACTCAGCTATGAGGCTTAGCATAAAATTAACAACAAAATTAGAGGGCTCCCCTCCGCAGTGTTCAGTAAATATTTACTGAGTGATTAAATGGGGCCCTGTATAAATTGGAGAAGAGAAGGTAAAAATAAGGGGTTATGTTAGGAGGGGAAATAAGCCTCTTCTGTATGGCTTATTTACTCAGCAAATATTTATTGGGCTCCTGCTATATGTCAGGTGCTGTGCTAGGACTATTTTCTTCTTTTCTCTCCCTCCTTTGCTCCCCTCCCCTCTTTCCCTTCCCTTTTCCTTCCTTTCTCCCTTCCCCATCTCTTTCTTTTTTTTAATTTGCTTTCTTTTTGAGATAGTCTCACTATATAGTCTGTGTGGATCTTGAACTTGCTATGTGCCCCAGGCTGGCCTTGAACTTGAGATCCTTCTGCCTCAGCCTTGTGAGTGCTAGAATTACAGTGTGCAACACCACAGGGAGGTATAGGCTGCAGTTCTGAAGGGGACCCTGTGTAGAGGGACGGGAGGTTGTTGCTCTGCAGGGCGCTGAGAGCTGTGATGAGCAAAGGACACTGTGGGAGTGAAGGACAGACAAGGTTTCCTAGAGGGCACAGTCCCTGGGATGGGGTTTAAAAGTTAAGTTGAGATAGTGTTTTCAAGAAATAGAAAATTCTAGCATAAGAAGCAACATAAGCTAGGCAGGGTGGTGCACGCCTGTAATCCTAGCACTCGGGAGGCTGAGGCGGGCAGGGTACCATGAGTTCAAAGCCAGCCTGGGCTACATAGTGAGACCTTGCCTCAAACAAAACAAAACAAATAAAAAAAGAATTGATATGAGCAAAGATGGAATAGTGTCAGAATTTGAGGCATTTGGGAAATTGCCAGTTGTTCATTTCACACTGAGCGTTACATTTTAGGGAAGGTGCGATGATCTTTGCAGAGAAGCCAGATCATGAAGGCCCTTGGGTGCCATGATGGGCAGTGTTGGAAGCTTTTGTCTTCCTGCTTCTTTCCTTGCAGCCGAGGCCTACGTCGGTGGGATGCTCTTTTGCCTGGGGATATTTCTCTCCTTCTACCTGTTGACTGTCCTCCTAGCCTGTTGGGAGAACTGGAGGTAAGATGGAGCTGTTAGGCTTCCCCTGATCTGGGGTAGTGGATGGGGGCACAGCAGGGATCACCTGGCAGGATCTGATCTCGCTCAGCGTAGTCTAACCACCCTCCAGTGAGGCTGGTCCCCCAGAGGGTCTGTCATCCTGGGGCCATGATCCCTTCCCTCAATCTCCTTCCCAAGCAGGAAGCCCCTGAGTCTCTCCCCAGCCTGGGAGGACCCCTGATCAAAGTTGGAGGACAGCCTTATAAGGATCAGAATGGGTGGCGAGCATAGAAGGAAGGTTGGCTGGCCCAGCACAGAGGGATCCTCGTTCTGGCCCATCTGCCTGTTCTCTGGATTCTCTCCCTATAGGCAGAAGAAGAAGACTCTTCTGCTGGCCATAGACGGAGCCTGCCCAGAAAGTGGTACCTCCAGGGGGCCTGGAAGGGGAGGCAGGGTTTGCATGGGAGGGAAAACGGTTGGAGGAGGAAGTGCTGGGGGCTTTGGGTTGTCCAGACAGAGCATAACATTCAACACCCTACGAGCTGTCACTTGATCCGCTTGTTCTGTATCTGTCTATACTGTCTGTCCACCTCAGGCAGTATGGCTCACCGTGTGTGGGGTGACTAACATTCTGTTCTCTCTCTGTCTCTCCACCCTCCCTTACTTTCTGTCCTCCCTCCTGCTCGGGACCTTCTCTCTCAGCTTCTCTCCTTGGTAAGCTCCAGTTGCAGTGGACAGAGCAGCTGCAGTCCAGGGGAGGGAGTTGAGGCCCTGGGTCATGATGCAGGTGGCTGGGCAGCCAGATACTGTGTGTCCTTATGGCTGGTGGCTTGGGTGTGTTGGTTCCTTGACCTTCCTCTCTGTATGGAGGACACGGGGTGGCTTGTGTCCATTAAGAGGCACACGGGGGTTCCGGCATGAGGTGGTGTGGTGGGAGTGAGAGGGGTTGCCTGGACAGGTGTTTACTTTTTGCCATTGGCACAGCTCCTCTGTGGCTCTCTTTTCTGGATTCTTTGCTCCGCTCCTCTGGCGCTAGACCTCTCTGCTTCCAAGGCTGAAGTGACCTTGACTTCTCATTGCAGGTCACCCTCGGGTCCTGGCTGGTTCCTTTCCTGGCAGCTCCTCTTACGAGGGTTACAACTACGGCTCCTTGGGTAAGTGTCAAAGCTGGAAAATGCACTTGCCCATTCCTAGCCAGGTCTCTGAGGTAGTGAAGAGGCGGCGCCTTCTCCTGGTGCCCCAGCCCTTCCAGCTTCTCAGAGCCCCATAGGGGTGGCCCACTGACCCCTTCCCTGAGGCCACTCCCTCGTGCCTCACCACTTACTGTTTCCTGCAGAGAATGGCTCCGGATCCACCGATGCTTTGGTTGACAGCACCGGTACCGAGGACCTCTCTTACAGTTACCAGGGTGAGTGGGCCAGGCAGGCGAGGTGTGTGGTGCAGGGCCGTTGTTGGCTGGGTGAAACATCACGGTGAGCCGTTGCCTCTTCTGCCAGATGCTGGAACAAGGGAAGGGCCTGCTGTTCTGCCCCTCTCCTCCCTCATTCTTTTCGCACCAGTTCCCTGGTAACTTTCCCTTTCCTTTGAAGGACACGACCAGTTCAAGCGGCGCCTCCCCTCTGGCCAGATGCGGCAGCTGTGCATTGCCATGGGTAGATGTGGGGAGGGAGTGGGGCTGCCAATCAGCTCCTGCCAGGGCAGTTGACTGGGGCCTGTTGGCTCCAGGACTGGAAAGATGCTTGGTGCATGGCTTCCCATCTAATGCCAGCAACGCCGGCTCAGGTGTCTTCTGAGATAGACAGGCAGTGGTCCCTGGTGCTGGTGGGGTGCCCCCTCAGTTACCCTCAGGCCAGATGTCCTAGTTTGCTGTCCTCTTTGCCGGCACCTTCCTTACCTGATCTTCCAGGGTCAGGCTTCTGGCCTCTGGGGCTTTGGTTAGGTGAGATCACAGGAGGAAGCTTCTGAAGGTGGAAGGCAGATGAGGGTAAAGAAGCGGTGCTGTTTGTAGCGGCAGCCTCTTGCCCTTGCCCGGACCCCAGGCCTGCTGGGTCTTTTACCCAGTGGCGGCCCCAGCCGTGTCTTCTCAGAACGCACAGGGCCAGGCACCTTGTAATCAACATGGCTGACCGCGTCCAGTCCTCTTCCTTGTGTGCAGGGCCTGGGATCGGCCTGGCCTGGGAAGCCCTAGCTCAGGCGGGGGAGCAGGGAGTGGAGCAAAGCTGGGGCTGTCCCTCTGTGGTCGCCTCTTTGCAGACCCCTCCTTGCTCCCTTCTGGCTTAGGAGCACCTCACATCTCCCAGCGCCTGCGCCCACCCCTAGCCCTGCTCTGAGCTACAGTCCACAATTTGCCTGTTCCCAGCGCCTAGTAATTTGGACAGTTGCCCCAGATGGGCGGGGCTGACCTCCAGTTTTATGCTCACTGTCCCAATTCCTTTCTCCCTGCCCTTCCCAGACCGCTCCTTTGAGCCAGTGGGTCCTCGGCCACGGCTGGACTCCATGAGCTCCGTGGAAGAGGATGACTACGACACACTGACCGACATTGAGTCAGACAAGAATGTCATTCGCACCAAGGTCTGACACCCATGGGCCTGGTCCTGCCGGGGTTTCCTAAGGATGGGGTGTTGTGTTTAGGCCCCGCCTGTGGTCTGTTAGGGAAATAGAAGAAGAGCTCAGCTGGGGCAGCATAGATTCCAGGTGAAATTAACTCTACCCTCAGCTCCTTCCCCAACTGGTTGGCAACAACCCTGCAGCAGTGGGACCGCCTAGGTCTGTGCCGCATGGGTTCTAGGGTGGGAGCTAAATAGAGCTCCCCCCGCCGTGTCTCCTCCCCAGCAATACCTCTACGTGGCTGACCTGGCACGAAAGGACAAGCGTGTTCTGCGGAAAAAGTACCAGATCTACTTTTGGTGGGTGGCCCAGGCAGATGGGGGCACCTGTCACAGTGGGTGGGCACCTCTCAGGTCCTGCCCACCTTACCGCTGCTTTCCCACTCCCCAGGAATATCGCCACCATTGCTGTCTTCTATGCCCTTCCCGTGGTGCAGCTGGTGATCACCTACCAGACGGTGAGGAGCCGGATCTGGCTCACCTGGGCCACCGTCTGGGACCCAGCCCCAAAGTGTAGGGCCTGGCAGCGAGGGCTCTGCAACAAGTGCAGGTCTTAGGTCCTAATGCTGCAGTGCCAGCTGAGATACCTTGGGCAAATACTTAACCTCCCTGAGCATCAATTTCTGTGTCTGCAAAACGGGGGTAGCTTGAAAGCAGTGTGGTGGGGGTTATGGAACAGAAGTCACGGGACTTTGTAAGTGTTGGTTTCCCTTCTCTTTTCTCTGTACTGTGGGGCAAGAACTTCTGTCATGGTCATGCCTCAGGGTGTGCAGCCACACCCAAGGAGGTAAGCGGTGCTTGTGCCACTTGGTATCTGTTTTCAGAAGTAGGTGCCCAAGGCACATACACACATGCAAACCATGGTGGCACGTGCTCTTTCGCATTTGGGCCCAGGCTGCGGTGTGGGCTGTGGGCTGAGCCAGGCGTGTTAGCAGCCCCACTTCCTCTGCAGGTGGTGAATGTCACAGGGAATCAGGACATCTGCTACTACAACTTCCTCTGCGCCCACCCACTGGGCAACCTCAGGTGGGGATCGTGCTGGGAGACCCCTTCTCCTGGGAGCCAGGCTCCAGGCGGGAATGGGCGGGCTTTGGGAATGCCTGCCCAGGCCAGAGAACACGTCTGCATGTGAGGCCAACGCAGTGCACCTTGAATTGCCCCTTCTAGCGCCTTCAACAACATCCTCAGCAACCTGGGGTACATCCTGCTGGGGCTGCTCTTCCTGCTCATCATCCTGCAGCGGGAGATCAACCACAACCGGGCCCTGCTGCGCAATGACCTCTATGCCATGGTGAGCAAGCACCTGCCTGTCTGCTGAGACCTCAGCTCCAGCACATACTCAGAGCCTTGGCTCTAGTCCACCCTTTTTGGCAGGCGTGGCCTTGCCCAGAATTATCCCCCCTTTCCTTCCCTCTACTGCTCAGCCCTGCCCAGCCCTGCCCTGCTTTATCCTCCCTTACCTTCCCTGTACTACTCATCCACTCAACATGGGTCCACCCCTTTTCTTTTAATCCTCAAAGGACGCCCTCTTTGGGTCCCTTCTTCCCTTCCTGCCTCACCCTCCCTCCCGTCCGTTCTCCCCTCCAGGAATGTGGGATTCCCAAACACTTCGGTCTGTTCTATGCCATGGGCACGGCTCTGATGATGGAGGGGCTGCTTAGTGCTTGCTATCACGTCTGCCCCAACTATACCAATTTCCAGTTTGGTGAGTGGAGCCTCCTCTTTGGCTGAGCCTAACCCACCTGAGCCCTGCCCCACCCCCAGGTCACCAAAGGGATCTCCAAGACTCAGCCCTGTAGGGAAGTCCAAGGCTGCGGTAGCTGTGATGGCACATCTGTATCCTCCCGTGGTAAACGGCTCTGCTGAGCTTTTCCTGTGTAAAGGCTTGCATAAGTGTGTGCAGGGCAGATCCATCAGGAATGGTGTGCACACCAGGGTGCTCAGACTAAGTTGTCCTTGCCGTCAGGAGGCATGGGACTCTGAGTGACACCTAGTAGGGTGGCAGGGACAGTTCAGGGACTGGAGCTCGCCCCGCCGCCACGTCACGTAACCAGGCACGGGGCCCTCTTCCCCACTGATTGCTGGAGCTGGGAGTTCTCTGCTGAGGCCTGGTGGATGTTCCCTGTCCCCACCCAGACACATCCTTCATGTACATGATCGCTGGACTCTGCATGCTGAAGCTGTACCAGAAGCGGCACCCAGACATCAATGCCAGCGCCTACAGCGCCTATGCCTGCTTGGCCATCGTCATCTTCTTCTCTGTGCTGGGCGTGGTGAGGGCCTGACCCGCTGTGCTCACCCCCACGAGGCGCGCGCACATTCCCTCCCTCGCAGGGGCCTTCCTGGGCACCCTCACCGCTCCCCCTGTGGCCTCCTGACAGGTTTTTGGCAAAGGGAACACGGCATTTTGGATCGTCTTCTCCATCATTCACATCATTGCCACCCTGCTCCTCAGCACGCAGCTCTATTACATGGGCCGCTGGAAGCTGGGTGAGGGCACGCCTGGGGCAGGGCAGGGCGAGGGCGCTGGGGAGCCCCTGGAGTGAGAGGGGGTGGCCTTTGGGGACTCAGACACGCCGAGACCCTTGGGTTCTGTCCTTCCCCTGGGGGCCCTGGAGGAGTCCCCGTGTGAGGAACTCGAGCTGGCCTTGGCATTGCTGTGCCCCCTGCAGGCTCTGGCTTTGCAGCGGGCACAGGCCAGGGGTCCAGCGAGGAGGGGTGCCCTGTGCTCTTCAGCACCTTCTCCTCCTCCTTGCAGACTGGGGGATCTTCCGCCGCATCCTCCACGTGCTCTACACGGACTGCATCCGGCAGTGCAGCGGACCCCTCTACGTGGTACCTGCCCGGCTCCCCAGCCCCTTCCTCCTCCAGCTGTTCTCCTTCCAGTGGGGCAGGGAAGCAGAGCAGGGCACCTGGGGCAGGGGTGGGGACTCGCTGACTTGGGCCTCCTGCCGCTTCCCTTCCCGTCTCTCTTCTCCCTCTCAGTCTCCGTGTCTCTGCTTCCCCCCAGGACCGCATGGTGCTGCTGGTCATGGGCAACATTATCAACTGGTCGCTGTGAGTGTGGCCATTGGCTGGGCTGGCCTGGTTGGGCATAGCTGGGGGCATGGCCAGCTACTGGCTGCCTTGGGGGTGTTGGGCGTGAGGAACAGAGGCTAGGAGAGGGCGTTGTTCCCTTCAAGAATCTTCTGTAGGCCTCAAACCCAGCCCCGCATCGTGATAAAGGTGGTGTGGGAGCAAGGGAGAGGGCTCCTGCTCTTGGCCCTGCCCTGGTTTGCCATCCCCTCTTCCTCCCTCAGGGCTGCCTATGGGCTCATCGTGCGCCCCAATGATTTTGCCTCCTACTTGTTGGCCATTGGCATCTGCAACCTGCTGCTTTACTTTGCTTTCTACATTATCATGAAGGTGAGTGCGGAGAGCTGAGCCTCTTCTCGTAGCTGCTCTGCTTTTGGGGGCTGGAGATGGGCACGGTCTGCCCGGGGAAGCCATGAGAGGGAGGGAGACTTCGTCCATCCATTTCTGCGCTGATAAGGTTTGAGGAGCAGGGAGCCTAGAGCCAACTGCTGAGCAAGCGCTCTGCCGCTGAGCTGCACCCCCAGAAGGGGGGTGCGTGCAGAAGGTTGAGAGGAGGTGGGGCTCTCAAAATCTGTGCCGAGCATGGGCCTGTGAGGACCAGGTGCCTGCCGAGTGACCCTCCCCATAGCCTCCAGTGTGGGAGGGGAGCCCCAGCTGGTACCCTTGGTTGGCACCAGGGTCCTGGGGACATGGAGGCCCAGTGAGGGCGGCTTTCAGGTGAGGACACAAGGCTGCTAGTGTGGGAGATACTGTGAGTCCGAGCAGGCTTCCTGAAGGATGCGTCCTGGGCCAGGAGGCCCCAGGAGAGGGAGTCTGGGAAAGGCGGGGCAGGGCCCGGCTTGAAGCTCAGCCCTCAGCTTTCTTCCCTTTCCCAACCCCCACCCAGCTCCGGAGCGGGGAGCGGATCAAGCTCATCCCTCTGCTCTGCATCATCTGCACCTCCGTGGTCTGGGGCTTTGCGCTCTTCTTTTTCTTCCAGGGCCTCAGCACCTGGCAGGTGAGTAGTCAGCTTGGCTCACTGCGCTCACTGAGGGCCTGTTTTCTCCTGGACCAGCACTTTCCTAGCCACTGCCTCATACTCCTAGCTGGGCGTGGTGGCGCACGCCTGTAATCCCAGCACTTGGGAGGCTGAGGCAGGAGAATCGTTGTGAGTTTGAGACCAGCCTGGGCTACAAAGTGAGCTCAAGGCCGGCCTGAACTGCATAGCGAGACTCTGTCTCAAAAAGACGAAAAAAAAGAACAAACCTCATACTCCTAATATCCCGACATTCCAGCGTGAAGATGGCCCCCATTTTATTTAGGAGGCAGGTGAGCCTGGGCCAAGTGATCTGCCCCAGGGCACACAGCAGGGAGTGGCAACCCTTTCAACCTGTGGTCAGAGCTAGGTTTGCCACGGTCTCCCCTATGAGGTGTCTGCCTATGAGGCACTCATAATCTAGTTTAAGAGAGATACTTTTCTTTGTTCTTCTGTGCTCAAGATCAAGCCTGGGCCTCAGAACGCTCAGCGTGTGTTGTGCACATACTCCTAGTCCCGAGCTCATGTCTTGCTCTTTACAGTGCATGAACTGAAGGGTGGAGGTGAGACAGGAAGGTAAAGGTAGATTTGGAGGCGAGTGAACGTACACATTTGGCCACTATGCAGAGACTGCGTCTCCTTGCGTAGGGCAGGCCCTGGTGTTGTCTGGCCTCGGCATAGCACAGAGAGCTAGAGGCACACAGGTGACCAGTAGATGTAAGTAGAGGTTGTGGTAGACCGGAGAGGACCTTGAGTATCACAGAGCACGACTGCTGGCTTCCTGAGGCCGGCCGTGTGACTGGGCAACAATACTTTGGAGGAATGGTGACCCTGGAGGACAGATGAGAGCAGGGGTGGGGCCGAGGCGGGGCGGTGAGTTCCGCATCTCTGAGGTGACTCCAGGTATTCATAGCCCTCTGTTGGTGGGAAGGGGAAAGAAGCAGCCACGTGCTGGTGCACCCCTGTAACCCAGCACTCTGGGAAGCTGAGGCAGGAAGGTTGCAAGCTTGAGGAGCCTGGGCAACTTAGAGAGTGACCTGGACACCGTGCAGCGGGACAAGATCTATGTCTTTTAGCAGGAGCTGGGGCCCCTTGCTTTACCTCATGGGGCCCTGAGCTCCTCTTTGCCACCGGGCAGGGCGCCTCTGCGGTGCTGGGGTTGGGAGCCCCAGCCCTGCTGCCCAATAAGAAGTGATGGGGATATAGCTCAGTGCAAAGGTCTGAAGAGGGTTCGATCCTGAATATAAAAAAAGGAGGGGGAGGTGAAGAGGAGGATGAGAGCGAAAGAAAAGGGAAGACAGAAGCGGCAAACTTGGGGCAACACGTAACAAAAGGCCATTTCGTGGATTCGCTGGCTGAGGGTCAGGGATAAATCAGAACGAGTGCTTTTCTGCCTGGGGCTGGGAGGAGGAGTAGGTGCCCCCCGGATTCCCTGGAGCAGGGTCAGCAGGCTTCTGCCCCATTCCTCCCACAGAAAACTCCTGCAGAGTCCAGGGAGCACAATCGGGACTGTATCCTCCTCGACTTCTTTGATGACCATGACATCTGGCACTTCCTGTCCTCCATCGCCATGTTTGGGTCCTTCCTGGTACGCGAGCTGCACCTGGCTTGAGCCGGGAGGGTGGAGAGGGGCAGAGGCTGCCCCTCCCCTTGCGCCTGACCTGGTGTCTGCCCCCAGGTGTTGCTGACACTGGATGATGACCTGGACACCGTGCAGCGGGACAAGATCTATGTCTTTTAGCAGGAGCTGGGGCCCCTTGCTTTACCTCATGGGGCCCTGAGCTCCTCTTTGCCACCGGCCAGGGCGCCTCTGCGGTGCTGGGGTTGGGAGCCCCAGCCCTGCTGCCCAGCACTGGATGGCGGTGGGACAATGAAGTCCAGCCCAGGCCAGACTCGGTACGGTCCTGGGGTGGCAGTGAGCCTTGCAGCTGCCCTCTGCCAGGGAGGAGGCCTGCTCCCCGACGCCCACACACTGGCCAAATTGCTGCTTTCTTCTCAGTGTTGGGGCCCCCCGGAGGCCCCCGTCCGTCCGTCCATCTGTCCGTCCATCTGTCCATTGGTTCTCTTGTTTGTCCCTCTGAAGGAGGAAGGAGGCAAGGGGATGCCCACTCTGTTTTCATACCTTGCATTCTACCCACCCTTCCCGTCCTCCTTAGCCCAGGACCTGGAGCCCTTTCTTCCCACTTCTGCTCCAGGACCCTGGTCTGAGGTCTGATTTGTGTCCTGCTGCAGAGCCCCCTCTCTTTGGGGCTGTACCTCGCTGCCATCACTGCCCTCTGGTCAGCCAGGATGGATACAGGGGTGGGATTTTGGGGGCTGGCCAGCTGGTGCCAGGCTTTTGGTGCTAAGGCCTGCAAGAGGCCCAGGGCAGGCTCCCCGCCACCTGTGCACAGGTTGGCTCTTCAGCAGTGGCGTTTAGCTCCATTTGAGAGCCACCTTTGAGGGGCTGCATTCGGAGATCGTCTCTTCATCTCATACGCCTCCCAGGCTGATGCCAGCACCAGGATTGGAGGGAGAAGCAATTGGTCCGTCCCTTTCCGAGTCCTCAGTCCTGCCAAGCCCCAGATGGGGCCTTTCAGTGCCATTGACACTGCCCAAGAATGTCCAGGGGCAGAGGAGGGTGGTGCACAGAGCTCAGCCCGTCCTGCCTCCTCCACAGCTGCAGGAGCCCCAGTGCCTGTCTTAGAAAGGGGCTTAAGGAAGTGACATGCCATTTCCCTGTGTGTCCCCAGTCCCAGTCTCGCTCCGGGATCCAGGGCTGGCCTTGAAGTCCGTCCAGCCTTCAGCCAGCTCCTGTCAGGCACACGCACACACAGAAGCCTTGGAGTTTACACGGGGTCCCCCAGCCTGGGCCCTCTGGCTGCTCTGGTCCTTGGTTCCCTTCGCCCCACTTGGTCCATTCCAGATGCCAAGGATGGGGGTGATCAGGTTGGGTCTCTGCCTTGGGGTGGGAGTGGTTTCTCTCCCCGACATGTTTTTATAAAAGCTCTCCTTGGGCTGGGACAGGAGGCTGGCCTGGGTCTTCTTTTCAGAGCTCCGTTTTATGTCTCCATGCTATGGATGTGTTGTTTTCTATGAATGAGTGCATTCAATAAAGACAACCAAATGCAGTTCCTGGGCCCCGCGTCTTCTCTCCTGTCCCGGGTGAGGCTGAGAGTGAGTGTTGGGCTGGATCTTCCTCGTCGCACTTTGGGACCTCCTTTCCCCGTGTCTTCCTCTATCTCACACAACGGCATTAACTTGGTAAACATTTACCAGGGCCGCCACGGTGGCAGACACTGCTGGGCAGAGGCTAGGAATTGGAAAAGCCTTTGCTGTGCCATCTCCCCTCTAGGATCCTCCCTGTACCTGGCAAATAGTAGCTGTCTTTGCCCTCCTGGCTCCTGCCCACCGGGCTGAGGCCGGCTTCATTCTGCTGAGCGTTTCCTGGCTTGCAAGGGCAAGGCAGGGTGGATGGTGGGCAGGCTCCAGGTAGAGTTTTGAAACCTCCATCGGCCAGGCACAGTGGTGCGTGCTTGTAATCCCCACACTCTGGGAGACTGAGGCCCAGCTTGTGCAGTTTAGTAGCTTAGCAGGACCCTGTCTCAAAAAAAGAATATACACACTGGGAATGTAGCTCAGTGTGGAAGGCTCTGACCTGATTTGAGCAGACTACAAAAGATCAAAATTGGGGGCCAGAGAGTCTGGAGAGCTCAGGACACAAACAGGGATGGGTGGGGGTGGGGGCGGGGATCCAGGAGGCTGGGCTTTTCTCAGCCTCCAGCTTCTCTCCTTGCTCTACCCTACAGCGCCACTGGGGGGCACTATGGCTTTATTGCCACCAGGCTCTGGAGTTAGGGAAGGCTGCCTGTGTGGGCAGAGCTTCTGAAGCAGGCACGCCCCTTCCAGGGAGCCCCGCTTGGCACGGATGGGGGTGCCAGCTGTGTGTGTGTGTGTGTGTGTGTGTGTGTGTGTGTGTGTTTTGTGTGTATAGTGGGTGTGTTAGGTCCTCTCTGCCACGGCGCCTAGGACAGGGTGGGCAGCCCAGACACTCCACTGGAAGTCTCCCACTTTCCTAACCTCTCCTTTCTCAAGACCCCTGCAGCCAGGTACAAGCAAGATCTGAACGGGTCTCCTTCCTGGCGTGATGGGTCTAGTTTTCCAGGTAGGTGTGAGTAAGAGGCAAGCCAGACTTCTGAGCCACCCACCCTAGTGTTTTTAGCCCTGCCAGACCTTAGGTGCCCTCTGGATGAGGCCAGGATTACTCCACTGCTACTGAACCCTCAAACCCCATCTCAACTCAAGACCCCCTAACTGAAAGCTTCCCCAACCTGAGCAGGTGCTACAACTGCAAGAATGGTGTGATGGACTCTCTGGCACCTGCGATTGGGCAGGGACCCGATTTCTGCAACTCATCCTTCAGCATGTGGCCTTGGGAACATGTACTCTGAGCCTCAGTTTTCTCATCTGTAAAATGGGGGCAGTGACTGACTATGCCTTTGCAGTATTAATGGGAGCATTTTCCAAGTGTCTAGCATGGAGCATGGCCTTGGTAAAGGCTGGTTCTTCAGAGAAGGGGCTGGTTTGTCTCCCATAAACCCTAGGGATCCCCGGCTTCCTAGCCCAGTTCCCCTCTCTTTCTGACAGGATTGTCTTGGACTCCTCAGAGGGCAGGGAGCCGAGAAGAGGGAGCAGCCTCAGTCCCACAGTCTCAGTCCCGACAGCAGGGAAGGCCTTCACGGTCCTGCCCATAAAAGGCTTTTCCCGGCCGGCTCCCGCCTCCCCACCCGGCAGCTCCATCTCCAAAGCATGCAGAGAATGTCTCGGGCACCCCCGGCGGTCTGCTCCAACTTGGTGTCTTTCCCCAAATATGGAGCCTGTGCGCAGTCACTGGGGGGGTGCTGGGGTGGGGGGTCTGGCCGGGCTCCTCCTGCCGGGAGAGGGCTGAGGGGCGAGCGGTGGGGGAGGCTGACATCATCGCGGCGGCAGCCCTTTAAACCCCTCACCCAGCCAGCGCCCCGAGTCCTGCCCACCGGCTCTCCTCGGAAGCTGAGACTGCACTCGCTCGCTCCTGCGGCCCGACGAACCCCGTGAGTGCCTGGGGGAGGCTGGGCTGGAGCTCAAGGTAGAAAGGGTGTGTCCCCGGCAGGGCATTGCAGTGCCCTCGCTGTGCTCCCTGCTAGGAAGCCTACCCTCTCAGGCTCCGAAGGTGCCTCTTCTCCAGAAGTCCCCAGAAGAGGAGCCCGTGCTAGCCGGGAAGGTGGGACGGGGTCCCCGGTCCAATCTCGTACTGCGTGGCCTAGGGCTCATTGAAGTCCACACGGTGACTTGGGTGGTGTAAAGGAACCTCGTGGGAACAGCCGGGGCACGGAGGCTCCCCAGCGCAGCCACAGTACATCCGCAGGCTGTGCTGGCTCGAGGCATTGTCTGGTTGGCCCTGGGCTCTGCCTGCCTCCCCACGAGGATGGCCGCGGAGGTGAGGGCCGTGGGTTCAGCTGCTCTGGAGAGCAGTGGCTGCTGCCCAGCGCAGGACTGACTGCCCTGTAGCCCTTGAGGCGGTGGGAAGGACATAGAACTCTTCGCCCAGGACCTTGCACGTGCCAGGCATGGGCTCTGCCACAGCACTGCAGCCCCAGCCGCACAGAGCTTTGTGACCTAGGACTGGCCAGGGTGGCAGACTGCAGGGCCAGGCTGGAGGGGCTGCCTTCTGCATCCGGCTCCTTCTGCAGCCTGAGAGAGGGGGTCCCTCCTGCTGTAGGCAAGGGCTGTGTGTGGCCACTGCCAGGGAGGAGATCTGGGGTGGCAGCTGGGCAGGGCTGGGCCCCTTAGTCCTTCCCAAAGGGTCTGGGTGGTTGACCTTTGCAGCTGCCGCTCGGAGGTTCGCAGTGAGGATGGGCCGCGTTTCGGCAGCAGGGCGTCTATTCTTTGTCCTTGGAGTTCCAGGCCCCTCGCTCAGGATCAGTGTCCTCCTGTTGGCTGTGTTTGTGGTGCTGAGGACTGAGTGACTCCTGGAGCTGCTTGTTCTGGGCTTCTGCCCGCTCCTCTCTCCATGCCCACCCTGTCTACAGGGCTGCCCTGAGGAGGGGAGGCCTGCGAGGGGCCGCAGGGGAGTAGGACACAGCCAAAGCTCCCGCAGTTCTCCTGCGCCTCTGTCCCTCTGTCTCCAAATGCCCCTGGTGGGCTGCCCTGCTGCCATCTTCCCTTCCTGTCCCCCCAGTGGCTGCAAGGTGGGCCTGGGGCGGAGTCCATCAGAGGACTCGACGGCGTTCCTTGGGACTCTTCCCGGATGTGGAGGGAGGGTGGTGCTGGGTGGAGGTGCACTGAGCACGTTTCCTTGCCCTCCCTTGCTCTGACCAAAATCCAAATGTTGTCTCTAGAAGTGAGGGCTCCACTGTTCTGTTCTCGTCACCGTGAGCCTTGACCTTTTGACTCACAGTGTCTGTCCTTACCCTGAGAAAGCAAGCTGTGGGTTGGGGACACGCTCCCTCCGTGCGCTCCTCCCGTGCCCAGCAGGTGGTGTGGGAGGGGAAGGCAGAGGAGAGGGCGGGTGGGTGGGGCAGGGGACCCCCTGGCCCCCAAGGGTGTGTGTGCCTGGCTGGGATGGCAGGGCAAAGGTGGAGACAGGCTGAGTGGAGGCCAGGAAGGGTTGCCCGAAGATACTTGACCCCAGTTGACTTGTGTCTTTCTGAGCCAGGGTCTTGCTAAGTTGTCCAGGCTGAACTTGAATTTACAATGCGCTTCCACACCCAGCTCTCCCTATGGTCTTTGACCACAGTTCATCGTGCAGAAGTCCTTGGGCAGAAGGGGAGAGGGTGGGACATAAGACCGGGTAAGGAAGGGAAGGACATCTATGGGTTCTCCAGCATCACCGCCAGGACATGGTGAGGGCACAGGGTCCGCCTCCTTCGCAGGGCTCGGAGGACCGTGTCCTCAGCCGTGGTCCACCCCCCACTGCACAGATAAGGAAACAGACTTGGAGAAGGGAGGTGGCCTAGGGCTGCCATTTAGCTGAGGTGTTCTCATGATTTCTCCCCAGCTTGATCTTCAGGAATGAATTGGAGGTGGGTGCAGGCTGGAGCGGGAGGCTGCTCACTGCATGCCTTGCCTGGCCAAAGGCTGGCCGGCTGCCTGTCACCTCTGGGAGACTGGCATTTAGAGGAGTGTTGCTAGAGCCCAGGCAGTGCGCGAGGTGTTCCCCAGACGCTGTGTTTTAGATCCCACTGTCCCACTGCACAGCTCGGGAACTCGAGCTGGGAAAGGCTGTCCTGCTAAGGGCGGGACATGGAGTTTGGTGCTGGCCTGGGACCAGAGTGTGGTTGTATTTGCTCTGCTTCCCACGGGGGTGCGGGTGGGGAGAGGGTCTCCGCTGTCCCAGGTAGAAGCTGGAGGAGCATGCCTGCTGTCTCCGTTCCTCACCTGTTATGGCCCTCCCACCTCTGACCTCTTTGAGAGCAGGGGCTGGGATTGGCCTCCTTTAGTCCCCCAATGGAAGGCTGTTCAGACAAACCCCGGGCAGAAACCAACCCTGTGTCCTGCCTGTGTCTGTCTAGCAGCCCACAGCCTGCCCCTCTCCTCAAGGGACCTCCTGAGCAATGCCAGCCCCAGCCCTTGGGACAGCATGGCGCCCGGGCCGGCTTCCCATGCTCCGGCCCGGATTCTTGGCTCTGGAATATCCCTGGAGGACTCTGACTTTTGATTCCTCAAACTACTGCCGTGGCGAGAACCTGAGGATGTGGGGGTGGGGGAGTGCAGCAGTCCTCTCCCGCTGGGTCCCCTGAGGAAATGCAGCGGCTTTGCCAAGAAACGCTCGGGCTTTGGTGGCTTCCTAGATCTTGCCAGGTGTGGGTAAGCCTGAGCCTCTTCAGCTGCGGGCCAGAGGTTGGGTGGGCCTGGCAAAGCACTGAATTTGTATTTCCAGCTTCTGGGCCAGAGCATAAAGTAAGTTAGGGGCACCTTGTTTGTTAAGGTGGAGGCAGTAAGTGACTTCATAACTAGCTGGATAAAGACACTTGCTGGCTTGATCTTGGGGAACGATCTGTACTCTGGAAGACTGCTCCGGGGCGTCTATGGCCAGTGTTGGCAAAGAAAAAATGCTTTAGGCCAGGGGTTGTCAAATTGGCTATGGGCCAAATCCAGCCTGTTGTGTTGTTTTTTTTTGAGACAGGGTCTCGCTGTGTAGTTCAGGGTGGCCTTGAACTCACTATGTAGCCCAAGCTGGCCTCAGATTTACAGCAATCCTCTTGCCTCAGCCTCCCAAGTGCTAGGATGACAGGTGTGCATCACCACGCCTGATTTTTGTCTGTTTTTGTAAATGAAGCTTTATTGTGCCAACCATGTTCGTTTGTTTACACATAGTCTATGGCCGCTTTCATGATCCAGTAGCAGAGACCATAAATATGGCTTGCAAAGCCTAAATATTTGCTCTCTGTTTATCTTCTTTTTCTTCTTTTGTGGAACTGAAAATTAAATCCAGGACCCAGGCTGGGCTTGAACTTGCAATCCTCCTGCCTTAGCCTCCCAGAGCAGTGTTGAGATTACAGGTGTACACCACCATCCACACCCTGCTTATTGTCTGGCTCTTTTTTTTTTTTTTTTTTTTTTTGAGACAGGGTCTCACTATGCAGTTCAGGCTGGTCTTCCGCTCACTTTGTGGCCCAGGCTCATCTCGAACTCACAACAATCCTCCTGCCTCAGCCTCCTGAGTGGGCCACTATGCTCAGCTCTGTCTGGCTCTTTACATGAACAGTTTATAGACCCCTGCTCTAGATTTTCCATCATCTGAAAACTTCTTCCTTGCTGTTCAAGTTCAGAGAGACCTCTGGCCTAGAGGGGAAGTGCTGTGATCCTCGTCTAGGATGGCTGGGGACCCTGCACAGAGCTGGGCTTGCCTGGCACAAGTGAAAGCAGAGCTGTTCCCTGATCTTGTGACCCTCTCTCTTCCTTCCCCTATCCTGCTTTAGCTCTGCCCCATCATGGCCAACAAGGGTCCTTCCTATGGCATGAGCCGTGAAGTGCAGTCCAAAATTGAGAAGAAGTATGACGAGGAGCTGGAGGAACGGCTGGTAGAGTGGATCATAATGCAGTGTGGTTCTGATGTGGGCCGCCCGGACCGTGGGCGCCTGGGCTTCCAGGTCTGGCTGAAGAACGGCGTGGTGAGTGGCACCCTGGGAAGAGGGCAGGGGCGGGCCATCCTGAGTCGTGGGACAGGGCCCCTGAATTGAGTGAATGCCAAGCTGCGTCCTCTGCCTGGCAGATTCTGAGCAAGCTGGTGAACAGCCTGTATCCTGAGGGCTCCAAGCCTGTGAAGGTGCCTGAGAACCCACCTTCCATGGTCTTCAAGCAGATGGAGCAGGTGGCTCAGTTTTTGAAAGCGGCTGAGGGCTATGGCGTCACCAAGACGGACATGTTCCAGACGGTTGACCTCTTTGAAGGTACAGAGGAACAGGAGGCTGGGGACAGCAGTGAGGAGGTGAACAGGATTCTGGGCCACGGGAGGGAGTGATCAAAATACCCCACAGCCAGGTGTCTGCGGCCTGTGCAGAGCAGGCGATGGTGAGGGCCTGCCACATACTCACAAGGACTTTCTGTAGGATCCACTGAAGCCGCCCATGGTGCCGGCTGTTTGGCCATTTCTTTGAACAAGCAGGCCCTGGGTTGGAATCCTACCTATTCAGTCCTGAAGTTCATCCCCTGGCTGCTCTTTCTTCCCATAGGCAAAGACCTGGCAGCAGTGCAGAGGACCTTGATGGCTTTGGGCAGCTTGGCAGTGACCAAGAACGATGGACATTACCGTGGCGACCCCAACTGGTTTATGAAGTACGTGGCCGTTGGGGACTCTTGGCCCTGTGCTGGGCTCTCTCTGTGGGAGGGGCGGCCTGGGCTGGCAGCTTGAGAATGATCAGGGGAAGCAGAGTCAGGAAGGTACCAGGTGATGGACGAGAGGAAGTGGGCCATTCACTGTTTTTATTTTCTGCAGTGCTGGGGATGGAGCCCAGGGTCCACGCAGGCTGCGCAGCGCCCTCGCGGAGCTACAACCCCAGCCCTCTTCTCACCTCTTGGCTCCTTCCTTTCCTCTCTTCTGTGCTCACTGAAATAAGGGAATGGGGTGGACTAGAAAGCGAGAGGGATCACAGAACAGCAGGAAAGTATCAGTAAGTTCTCACCACGGTTTATCCCGGTCCCTCCTGCCTTTAGGAAAGCCCAGGAGCACAAGAGAGAATTCACAGAGAGCCAACTGCAGGAGGGAAAGCATGTCATCGGCCTTCAGATGGGCAGCAACAGAGGGGCCTCCCAGGCCGGCATGACAGGCTACGGGCGACCTCGGCAGATCATCAGTTAGAGGGGCAGGGCCCGGCCTGAGCCCCGGCTTCTGCAGCTCCCTGGCTGCCGCCCTCCTGCTTAGACGGCCCCCCCACACCTGTGTAGTTTCTCAGCCCTGGCCAAGCTTTGAGACTGTCACTGGGCAAAGGTGACTGCACACGGGCAGCTCCCCCAGCCTCAGCCCAACTTACCCCGCAGCACCACCGCCCGGCTCCTCCTCCCAGCCGCATCCCCACCACTCGCTCTCCGCGCACCCGGGGCTAAGCCGGGGGCAGGTGGGCTGCTACTGGGTGTGGAGCAAGCCCACTGTCTTCCTTGGCAGCAAAAGCCCATTGAAGGAGACCCAGCTCAGCCTCCCCCATCTTTTCCTGGAATATTTTTGGGGCTGAAATTCAAAATGGAAAAAATATATATATACATTTTCTCAGGCCTGGCTGGCAGAGTTTGATTTTCACCGGTCACGTCTGCTTGCTGAGCAGGGAGCAGGGGGCATCCGGGATTTATGTGTGTCCTTGGCTGCTATCCTCACTCCAGGGCCCTTCACGCCCCCAGGACCCCAGGGGGTCAGAACGGGCCTGGGAGAGGATGGGGACTCTCAAGGACTCGGGGATGGGGAGCAACCCAGCCAACCGAGTTAGCTGTGGGAGGCGGAAGGAGGGGAGATGGAGGGGCAGAATTGTTTGGAAGGTCTTTATTTTGGAAAAGCTGTGCAGAAAAAAATTTAACAAAATGTTGCTGTGAAAAGAGAAAATCAAATTTTAAGCATTAAAAATATTCAAATCAATCCATTAGCTCAGATGAAGGGAGGAGGCCAAGGGCAGGAGGAAAGGTTGGTCTCAGGGTTGTCAGGCAGACAGCGGCCTCCAGGGGGGAAAGGGCGTTTCCCTGAGCACTTTGCAGAGGAAGACAGGGTGGTCACGGGGCTAGAGTGGCCGTGGCTCCTTTGGCTTCTCCTAAAACACTCACCTGTCCCACCTGCTCCTCAGCCCTGCCCCAGACTTTCTAATGAAGCGGTACGGGCCCTGAGGAGCCGTGTCCCTCCCCAGCTATGCCAGGGCCATTGTACCACTCCTTCAGGGGGAGGGGCAGGAGCGATGGTGAAGGGAGTCAGGGCACATTCGAGGCTGGCATCGCCGCGAGTGCCCCTCCTGGGCAAGGCTAGTGAAGGCACTGCCTTCACGGTAGGCATCCTGGGACTCTTCCCTGCGTCTCTGTCTCCCACCATACTCCTTCCTAAGTGATCCTGGCGATGTTTCTGCTGAAGACTCTCCTGGCCGCACGGGTGCCTTCTCAACCCACATGGGCAGGGGCCCCCATAACCTGCATCGTGGGCCTGCCCGAGAGGTGGCGGCAATCTGACAACGTGAGCGCCAGTGCCTTGGCCAGGCCGTCTCATCGAAAGCATCCAGTCAGCTGGAGGAGGATCCTGTCCTCTCCCCAGACTGTCCCCTGGCATCGCCTTCTGCCGCTTTTACTTGCGCAGGCCCTCACCCTTCCTGAGGGCAGCCAGAGACTGCTGCCGAGGCCTCAGGTGTCAGATGTGGGGATCAGGACTACTTTCTCCCCAGAGCTCCCCAAAGTTGGGTGCAGCTTCCTCAGTTTTGGGAAGGAAGAGCCTATCCTACTTCAAGTCTTCAGGCCCTGAGGTCAGCAGATCTGCTCCTCCTTGCCCTGCAACAGGTCTGGGGCTCGGTGCTGAGAAGGGCAGCCCAGGGCACTCTGGTTCTGCGACAGGGTCCAGTCCCCTTCACTGAGCAAGTCTGGGGCCAGGAGGTCAGCGGTGGTGGGAGGGCTCCTGTTCTGTGTCTCTGCTCCATTCACATCCTTACTGGTGCAAAGCGGCACTGATTCCAGCTCGGTCCCCTCCTCTCTGGATTTTCGGCTCCGCTGGGGCCAGTGGCAGGATCCGTTCCTACAACCTTGGGTGTAAGCCGTATTTCTGTGGCTCATGTACACCTCCAGCATGTAGTAAATGGTCCAGAAGACAGTGAAACAGCCCACTAGCACCAGGGTCTGGGGAAAGCCAAGCACCTATGTTAGGGACTGTGCCCACGCCAGACTGTGAGCTCTGGGAGTCCCTTCCCTTGGGAGACCGCCGCTGCCTCCACCGCACCCCTCTCCTGTCCCTCCCACCGCAGGACTGCCCCCTGCCTCGTAGATGGGGATCCGGGTCTTCCCAACCCCTCCTTCCCCAGGTCACCTCGAGGAGCACCCAGGATCAATCACCCTGGACAGTCCCATCAGCAGTTTGAGTCTTGGTCCTAGTACCTTCAGTGTGTTAGGAGTGATGGTATAACCGTCTTCCTCGGGAATTTTCAGCCCAGGTGGGCAGGGCAGAGCAAAGCCATCATGCAGATATTTTCCGCTCATGGCACTTTCTAACAGCCTGTGGAGAAGCAATGGGGAGAGGACACCTTACTGACCCTGGTTCCTACACCATCTGCCCTCACCATCCTCCTGCGCTACCACTGAAGGGAGGGAGGGGAACCCAGAGCTGAGGGCAGGTGCGCACTCTGGCTTCCCGGCCCCTGGCTGTGCCTGCAGCTGGGGTCCACAGCTGGAGGAACAGCTGCGGTTCGGAAGTGCATGGGCTTCCCAGGTGGCTTCTTCTCCCCTCCCTCACGAGCTGCCCTCCCTCGGACGCACTGGGCCAGACCTACCTTTGTCTTTCCCTGATGTCCACTGGACTCCACATGGAGCCGTACAAGGTCAGCTGCCACTGCTGGAGGATGCCCAACTGGGGTGGCTCATCACCTAGAGCAGCAAGCGGGCAGCCTGTGAGCCGTCCCCTTGTTGGCCATGCCACCCAGTGATACCCGGCCACCAAGGCACTCAGACCACACGGTTCAGTACAGTTAGCGGCTGTCCCGCTGGGACCCGTGGGTTCTGCAGAATGCCTCACAGGGTGCTCGGGCACAGGACCAGCAGGGTGAAAGGCTGAACTCGAAGCACAGTTTTGATTTTATTTTCTGTATTTTGGGATTTCAGCTGGCATTTTTCTTGAAAGAAAAATATTTTTCTCTCATCTTAATGAAGGTTTGAAAACCACTAGCTGGTTTAGCGAATACCTAGCTTGACTAGGGGGAGGGACCTATGGGGGAGGGACCATAATTTCCAGTCTCTTCACTGGTATTGCAGATATTCAATAGTCACTGTTATTGTGACTTTATATATAGGTCACTTCATTTTATTATTACTATTTTATCTTTTTTGAGACAGGGTTTCACTATGCAGTTCAGGCTGGCCTTGAGCTCACTTGGTGGCCCAGACTGGCCTTGAACTTGCAACCATCCTCCTGCCTCAGCCTCCCGAGTGCTGGGATTACAGGCGTGCACCACCATGCCCAGCTTATATAGGTCACTTCAAACCTCTGAGTCTCAGTTTTTTAACAATGGTGAAAACTAGTCCTGCCCATACCTGCCTACCAGGGCTGGCTGAAGCAAGGTTATGTGTGAAAGGACTTGATCAGTCACTTCTCCAAGGAATAGACAGGTGGGACAATGGTTAGTTTTAGGGGTTAATGCCCAGTTTTGGATGCACAGTCCTCAGCGTCTGCCTTCTTTGTCCAATGGCAACCCTAGGCATTCCACATGGGACCCTGAGACCCAGAGGGGCAATCAGGAAAGGCGGGACCCTGGGGCCAGGGCAGGGGGCTCACCCACATCCCTGATGACCAGTCTGTAGGCGCCCTTTGCTCTTTCTCCCCAGCACCGCACAGTGGAGAAGGTCCAGTCGTTGAAGCCACTGGGATCCCTGGGCAAGGTGCAAAGTCAAAGAGATGAAAGGTGCGGCACGGGAGCTGAGCTCTTTCCTAGGCACGCTGCTTCCCCACCACATCAGCCGCAGAAACGAGCTACAGCATGTGCCAGAAGGCCCTGGGATCTCAGGGAACGAGGGACTTGGGCCCATGCATCACAGGGGAAAAGCCAAGGTGGAGAGAACACAGGCTTGAAGTCCCATAGATATAGGTTTACTGTTACTTTCTTAGCGCCTACTAGCTCTGGGACTTGTTCGCGCATTTGTAAAAGGAGGTCACAAAGTCTACTGCAGAGGGTCCTTCAATGATTACAGTGTGTGTGTGTGTGTGTGTGTGTGTGTGTGTGTGTATGCAGAGCACAATGCCTAACATTGTAAACCCTTGACTAAACCATACAATCAATGGCTTCCAGCTGCCAAGGACAGTCAGGGCCATGGTTGCTTATGACAGTGCCACTACCCTCTTGAAGACAGCTTGGGAGGCCACACGCAGGGGTACGTACGAGTCCATGCTGCGGGGGGCGCCGATGAGGGACATCATGCCACTGGGACAAAAGAGTTTCAGCTCCAAGCTGCCACGGCGTGGGTGAGTGATGGAGACTGTCACTGCCACGTGCTCCAGGGTCTTCAGCCCCGACATCTCCAGGTCCATCCTGCTGACTGTAGGAAGTCAGGCTGGGAGGCTGGGAAACCAGCCCATACACACTGATGCCCTCACTCCAGCCCAGCATACACAAACGCACAGGCTCGCCGGAGCCACACACAAACGCCTATGGCAACCCGAACACAAGTGACTAGATGCAGCGCCGCTGTGACGTTTACAGCCCAGCTTAGAGCCTAGAGGAAGGCAGTGCAGGGCTGAGACACAATGTCAGAGCCCAGCAGAGCAGCTTCAATTACTCATTCACCCCAAAATGATCGACTGAGTACCTCCTACATTTTAGGCACCTGACTAAATACCGGGACCATAACGATAAGTTGGGCACGGTGTCTATCTCCCTGAAGACAAATGGAAAATGACACGATATACACGAAACTGACCAGGGCAGACATGCTGTGAGACACGCTGAAGGAGGAAGTGAACACATACTGGTAGAGGGCAGCCTGGCAGAAGGGAGAGATGGCATCACGAAGACAGAGGTGAAATGAGTAAGTCTCATATGTGGAAGACAATACAAAATTGTCTTAAAAAAACACTACAGTGGGTAAGTTTCAAGGAAATTCTGCTGAATGAAAAAAGCCAACCTCCAAAAGACACACAGTACATGATTCTGTTTACATAGTTATTTGCGTGAGATTTCCCTGTACAAGTATTTTTCGACCTCCTGTGAATCTACAGTTCTTTCGAGGCAACAAAACCGAACAAAGCCCTAACAAAGTGGAAGATTCAATTGGGGATTAGTAAGAAATTAGAAATGCAACGAGAAATAGTCCTTTCTAATGTACCTTTTTGCCCAGCAATTCATCCTAATATGCAGAAGAGGAAGTAATACCTTCATTTTACAGATGAAGAGATATTCAGAAAAGGGAAAAAGAGCTGGGTGTGGTGATGCATGCCTGCAACCTCAGCACTCAGGAGGCTGAGGCAGGAGGATAGGGGTAAGTTCAAGGCCAGCCTGGGCTACACAGTGAGTTCAGGGGCAGCCTGGACTACAGAGCGAGAGCCTGTCTCATAAAACAAAAACAAAAACAAAAACAAAAAAAAGGGAAAAAGGAACCTAGGATGGGAAAGGCTTTAAATTAAAAAAAAAAAAATTTTAACAAGCAATTGAGAGCTATTATAAATTATTGAGCAAGGATGGAGTTTTCAACACAGTGCTGAAGGAAGCTTTCTCCAGAGGTGGGTAGAAGCCGTAGAGGAGGGAGGAGGTGGCAGAGGACGGATCGTCATAGGGCTGAGGTGGAGGGTGTATGGACACCTGGGACTGAAGGAGGAGGACAAGGACGAAGGCTGAGACAGACCTTCTGCCCTGCTTAGCTCCTCCCCCGGCTAACCTCACCCCAGTCCCCTTGCTACATTCGCTGAAGTGTGTTGCCTCCCACTTCTCCACGGTGACACCTGTATCCCTGAGAACCACGTCTCCAATGTCATAATGTCACATTTTGTTTTCCTGTCCTCCTTTTTCTTCCTTTCTTTCCTGAGGATTACGCTCAGGGCCTTAACAAAAAAACAAAAACAAAACCAAAAACAAACAAAAAAACAAACCCAAACCAAAAAATAAACCCAGGGCCTTTCACACTGAGCTACATCCCTAGACCTTTTTTGTTTTGTTTTTTTGAGACACGGTCTTGCTATGTGGTTCAGGCTGGTCTTGAACTCACTGTGTAGTCCAGGCTGGCCGCAAACACACAGTGATCCCTCTGCTTCAGCTTCCTGAGTGCTGGGATTACAGGTGTGTGCCACCACGCCAGGCCTTGACCTTTTATTTTTTATTTTGAGACAGGGTTTTTCCAAGTCTCCAAGTTGTCCAAGCTGGGATCCGAACTTGTGATTCTCCAGGCTCAGCCTCCCAGGGAACTAGGATTATACCATTTTTATTCTTTTCTTCTTGCTTTGTTTTTTTTTTTTGTCTTTTTGAGGTAGGGTCTCACTATGCAGTTCAGGCTGAACTTGAGCTCATCTTGTAGCCCAGGCTGAACTCACAATGATCCTCCTGCCTCAGCTTCCCGAGTGCTGGGATTATAGGTGTGCCCCACCATGCCTGGCTTTTTCTTCTTACTTTGGTAAGGTTGTGGGAGTGAGCAGAAATAAAAGCGTGTGTTTGGCCTGCCAGCTACAACTCGCCATCTTCTCCTATCCCATCCACCAGCCGGCCAACTGCAGTCCAGCTGCTGTCCCCAGGAATACACTGGGACGATTCTTTCCAAGGTCACCCCTGGCGTCTTTGTCAGCCCGCCACACTCTTCCGTCCTGTCTTACTGGCTCTCAAGGAAACCACCCTTGACGCCCGCAGTAGCATTCTTGCGTGTTTATGAGCCCTGTCTCCAATAACAAGAAGAAGCAGAGAAAACAGACGTCCTCAAAACCTAACTTCAATAGCTACCAATACATGGACAATATATTCCTTTTGTAGATGGTTTACACCTCCTCCCTTTCCCAGATTCTTCTGACAATCCCCAGACCTTTTTTGTTTTGTTTTTTTGAGACATGGTCTTGCTATGTAGTGATTGCCAGGCACCTGGCAGTTCACAGGCAGAGACTTTGGTATGCACTGCTAGAAGGGGAGCCCTTGGGAAGCTCCTGACTTTCCCTGTGTCTCTCTGCTAACCCTGACTGGTGACTGTGTATCTCAAAGGCTCCTGAGGCTTTAAGATAAAGCACAAGCACTTCTCACGGCACTTGCAGCTCTAACAGCCACATCCAGGTGTGCCACATCCTCCGTCCTCCCCGCACTCCCTGCTCCAGCCATCTCACATGACTTGGAGCTCCGTGGAGACTCCCCTGACTTTGCATGTGTCACTCCTACTGTCCGGATGTCCCTTTTCTCACCTGCCCTCCTGGCTAGCTTACATGACAAACTGGTCAGTGACCAATCTGAGAACCTTCGTGTCTTCCTGATGGCAGAAGATCTCTCTCCTGTGCTCTCCCAGCGCCTGCTCCACCTCCACCACAGCTCATGCTGCCCTGCACTAGCGGGCTATGCTGTCTTCCCTTGCAGACCGTGAGCTCCATCGGTGCAGGAGTCACATCTGATCTCTGAATCCACAGAGCTTCATACAGCGCCTGGGCAAAGCAGGTCTCACATATCTGTAGAATAAATGAGTGGCTCAATCGAGATACAATGTAGAGGGAGAACAAGGAGAAGACTAAACTGCAAGGGAAAGGCTACAAGAAGACCTGGGCAGAGACAATGGAGACAGAGGGACTGACACCCCAGAGCTTCAGGCTTGGGGGACTAGGGAACAGTAATGGCAAAGACGTAAGTGGAAGAGACTTGGGAAGCAAGTAGGCTTTTGAGAGGTGACAGAGAAACCCCAAATTTCCTAGGTGTTAACTGCACTATATTGGTAGGGTATCAATAACACACCGTGCCAGGCGTGGTGGCGCACTCTTGTAATCCCAGCACTTGGGAGGCTAAGGTAGGAGGATGACCACGAGTTTGAGGCCAGCCTGAATTACATAGTGAGACCCTGTCTCAAAAAAACATGAGAGGCTATGTTACCCTTCTTTTACTCTTTAAAAAAAAAGAAAAGAAAAGAAAAAAAGAAATAACTGATAAATCTAAAACTCTCCCACTTCTCTATACAGATAATTATTACTCTCAAGTTAACTTAGATACAACTTGTCTACCTATGTGTGCTTTTTCACTACATAGCTATACAACAATACAACACTGGATTAATAATATATTACATAAATACTATACATAAATAATACATTTACATATTAATGATATATGTAGATAACCAGTTTCCTACTGTGTAAGTCTCTTTGAAAGTCATCTTTTCACTTATTACATGTTTGAGACTTAAACAAACATGCGAGGGCCGGGGAGATAGCTCAGCAGCACAGCGCCTTGCTCGGCAAGCGCAAGGTCCTGAGTTTGATTCTTGGTACAAAAGAAAAACTGTAAGAGGCCAGGGATTTAGCTCAGTGGTGCAGCACCTGCCTGGTAAGCATGAGGTACTGAGTTCAAGTCTCAGTACCCAAACAAACAAACAAGGCACACAGTGACTTAGGAATGAAAAGATGAAGGAACATGCTCACGGCACGGGTGGAAGGCGGCACAGACACAACAGAGACGGGTGTACAGGCAGGTAAGTGCCCTGCTGTAGAGCAGAAAAGAACCCGAAAAGGAACCCAGTTGAAGAGGAGTGCTTGTCTGTGTTCACAGTACGGACAGTAGCACGCTACAACCTTTTTCTGTTTTGTTACTGATTGGTGTGGGTGGGAACTCGGGTGGCCATGCACGTGAGTACACTACCATTATTTCTAGAATTTCTAGTGAATTAAATGTGTTAATATATTGAAGAAGTTAATGTTGAGAACAGAGTGTGCACATAAAGAAACACTCAGGCCATGGCTGATGATCCTCACTGTTACTTAGCCTTCGGGGGTCTTTCTATTCCAAGAGACATGAGTGCTTCTGTTTGCCCATATTCTACTGGGAGCTATGACAATCTCTATCCTTCCTACTGGTGAGGGACACTCTCGAGATTTAGATCTAGAAATCATGTGTGGAGAGGTGGTAGCAAGTCATAAACATAGAGGGAGGACAGATAATCTTTTCTCCTTTTTATGGAGATAGGGCTCAGCTCTGTAATTCAGGCTAGTCCTGAACTTGCTAACTTAGCTCGGGCTGGCCTCAAACTCGTGGCGATCCTCCTGCCTCGTCCTCCCAAGTGCTGGGATTATAGGCGTGTGCCACCATGCCCAGCATGAGGACAAGTAAGTGATCTTGGATCAAAGTCTTAGAAGACATTCAGGACTCTGGAGCAATAAATGAGCAAGTGAAGGAAAAGGGGACCTCAGGAACAGAGGTCAGAAGAGGGTTAAGTAGTAAGGGGTCACAGAAGCCAGAGGAGGAGATGGGCTGCAGCAAAGGTCTAATTAATCAGGTGAGAACAGCGAGAAGGCGACGGATGGACTCTGAGTTAGCCTTGGATGGGACCAGGGAGAGGCAGCACGAGTAACAAAGTGAGTCTTTCACAGCAGAGGAAGTGGCGGCTGCAGTTAATCCGTCTGAAAGCTGATGGGGGCAGGGGCATTAGTTGGGAGGCAGAAGGAAGAACAGAAGAGGGAAAGGGTGGGCAGAAGGGGCAAAGAACAGGACCCACTGCACAGGGCACAAACCAGGAGGAAGGGCAGGGGAGAGCCGGTGCCTGCGAGTCTTCTAACACACAGGCTGTTGCGCAGAAGACGCTGGCCCGAGTCTCTTTCCACCTCCCACCCTCTGGGAGAGATGTCAGGCCCAGTGTCTGCTCTAAAGGAGCTAGGGATCCAATACCCTCTCCCTCCTAACTCCCTTTTGTTGGAGAAATGGAAGTCTGTCTGGCTCTCCAGCCGCACTGTTCAATCAGCCACGTGTTTTGTTTTTTCTTTTTCTGTCTTTTTGAGACAGGGTCTCGCTATGCAGTTCAGGGTGGGCTTGAGCTCACTTTGTAGCCCAGGCTGGTCTCGAACTTGCAAGATCCTCCTGCCTCAGCCTCTCCTGAATGCTGGGATTACAGGCGTGTGCTACCACGCCCAGCCCAATCAGCCACATGTGATTACTTACATTTTTTTTTTTTTTGTCCTTTTAAGACGGTCTCGCTCTGCAGTTCAGGCTGGCTTTGAATTCACTTTGTAGGCCAGGATGGTCTCGAACTCACAAAGATCCTCCTGCCTCAGCCTCTCCTGAGTGCTGGGATTATAGGCGTGTGCCTCCACACCTGTTTTTTTATTTCTGTTTTTCTTCCAGTGCCAGGAATCGAACCCATGACCTCGCGCTTGCCAGGCAGGCGCTGTGCTGCTGAGCTAAATCCCCAGCCCCCCACATTTGGTTTTAATTGTATTTTATTATAGTTAACTGAAATTTAAGTAATCACAACCCAGGTGTGCTGGTGCTTGCCTGTAATCCTAGCACTTGGGAGGCTCAGGGAAACTGAGGCAGGAGGACTGTTTCAAGTTCAAGACCAGCCTGGGCTACAAAGTGAGCTCAAGGCCAGACTGAACTGCATAGTGAGACCCTGTCTCAAAAAGACAAACACATACATACATACAATTAAAATTCTTTTTTTCAGTCTCACTGGTCACATTTTAAGTGTTCCATAGAATTATCTAGTGCCATGGATCTAGAACATTGCCATAATGGGATAAAGTTCTATGTGACAACTTTGCTCTGCAGTCTTAGAGATGTTCCACCTTCCCTTCTACTGTAGGGATGTTCAGTTCCCTCTACCTTAGAGAAAGCTCCCTTCCTGGCCCCAGACAAGGAATCACCCAGATCCTTCTAGAAAAACTACAGTTTGGCTGTAGGGGTTGGGGTTTCTCAATTCTCTGGGGCTGAGTCGCTCGGCTCCGTCCTACCTGGGCTTCCTGCCTTCAGCTCTCCAGCTCTCACCTTCTGTCTGCTCAGGGTCACCGCCCCTGACCTCTGAAGTGCGCGGCAGGCCCGCTTGCTGCCTGGGTAAGACTCCTCCGGCCCCACCCCCGACCTTTCCCTGCTCCTGCGCAGCCCCTCTCTCCCTACACCGCCTCCCGCTTTCCTCCCCCAGGACAATCTGGCCCCCTTGCTCTCGTTTCCTAGTGACCAGTAAATAGTTGCCAGAGTCTTCAACACCTAGGGAATGTGTCAGACATCCTGGGGCAGCATTCCTGGGTTAGAGGAAGCAAAAGATGACAAAACTGGAGAGGCCTCAACCCTTCTAAGTCAATTCCCTCGTCTGACACATATGATAAGAAACAGTCCTCAGTGGGAGATAAAGGTTAGAAAGCACACAATCCCCAAGACCGTGGGTACGAAGCCAGGGGCTTCTGACAGAACCACATTCCTGGGCATGTTTCTGAACTGCTGTGTCTTGGCTAGTGTGTTGTGCCCTTTCCAAGATAGCATTCCTTTTACGGGAAATGGAGTGACCGGGCCTAAGGCTCCTTTCACAGACAGGGAAGCTGGCAGGAGCTGGACCTGCTTAGGCAGAGGGTTCTCAACTCCCCCAAGCAACAACTTCACCCACAGCAGCCTGCCCTCCTCCTGCCTGGGCTCTGGTCTGAATACTTCTGAGGAGGGCAGAAAAAGTGAGGGCACAGTTCTGGCTTGGGTAGAGTATGACATGCCTCAGCCTTCACAGAAAGTAGTGAATAACTCTGCTTGCCAAATTTCTTAAAGGAAAAAAATTCCCCAAGGGGCCAAGGGTGGAGAAAACTGGGAAACGTGCAGACAGAGGAGCTGGGAGATCGCTCTGGTGGCAAGAATGCACGCTCAGCATGTGCAAAGTCCTGGGTTCCATCGCCAGCACCAGAATAACACAATCACAACAAAAAATTGCGCAGAGGTCCTCTTGGAAAAACACCCTCCTCTGCTTCCCATAAGGACTTCCACCTATGTGCTCAGCATACACAGCTGCATCAGTCACTTGGATGACAGCCCTCCCCTTGATCCCTTCACACAATCCCAGCAGCCTGGGCACCGTGGAGGCGGGGAAAAGCACAGGTAATTCTCACCTAGGGACGCCTACTTATGCCTCTGTCCCACAGGCGGTGTCCAGCTCTAGGAGACAAACCTGAGCGTCAAAGGAAAGAAGCCTCAACTCCTTTACTTCACCTATGGCCTGGGCTGGACAGCTGTCTGGCAGGATCTTAGCATGGAAGTCACAGGAGTTTCTCTCATGCCCCACTCCCGCTCCGCCTACCCGCCTGCCTAGCTGGTTGCCTAGCGGCCCCTTTCCTCCTAGGAGCTCAGGAGAAAGGTCTTGTTTAAGCAGCCACGGGGCCAGCCAACTCAGAAGCAGCAACATGTCCTAAAATGGTCAAAGAAAACTCCACAGGTTTGGCCGGAGCTCAGCTCCTGAAGGAAGCGGGGAAAGCGGCAGTGAGGATGAACCTCACGGCCCCTCCATCCGCCCCAGGCCTGAGACCTAAGATGAACCCCTTGTGCTGACTACTTACCATTCCACAGGACCTCCAGCGAGTAGGGGGACCACGGAATAGCCCTGTTCTCTTTCAGCACGGGGCTGACGTAGGAAGCTAAGTAAGGGACAGACGTCCAGATCTGTTAAAGGAAAGGGGGTGCTGATGGCAAATCAACAAACAAGACTGAGCACACTCACACGCTCCTGCACACATGTGCACAAGCACTCACACACTCGTCCACAAGTTCTGCAAGGCCCAGTTCTATTTTTCCTCTCTGCATTAGCCCCTTCTTTCACTCCTGGGCTCCTGCTGACAACCTGGATGGCTCCTTGAGGCACCAGGTCAAGGAGGCAAAGGCAACGGCCTTGTCCAGGGTGGAGGAGGAGAAGAGAGCATCCCAGAAGCCCCAGCTATTCTCCAGCCCCATTTACTCTACTAACAGTTTGGGGACTTCCGTTATAATGCTGGGCCTGGGTGCTACCCGCTGCCGTGAGGGTAAAAGTGGTCAACGAAACGACGTGATGATCGCAGAGCGCCAGGCAGTAATGTTTTCAGCATCGGATGCCCGCTTGGCCACCCCGCCCGGCTGCCCCGCCCCGCCCACACCTGTTCACCTTGGCTGCATTGACGAGTCTCCAAGCATTGAGCAGGCCGAAACCGTGCTGGTGGCTATGGCTGAAGCCCGCCTCATTGGTGAGCCAGTCTGCATGGCGATCTTCATACTGAAAGGACAGGGGCCCCGTTAGCTCCATGCATGGCCAGTGTGGCAACAACAGCCGGACTGCTGTCTCCTTGCTTCCCTCTGGCCGATCCCATCCAGACGTTCCCACTGAGGCCACTAGGAATGGATTCCCCCAGGAAGCTGGGACAAAAGGTCAAAGCCCCATGACATCGCCACCTGGCAGCTTCCCTCCAGACAGGGAGTCAGGAGGCACGGAGGTCAAATGGCATTAGCGGAACAGGACAAGTTTAAGTGTGTGGTCTTGAGGGTACTCCCATGTTGTTCCTTACAAGTGCCACTCTGAAAGGGACTCGGTGCCTACCATTTGGGACACCTAGACTCTGGGGTAGGCTGAGCCTGGCCACCGTCTGCCTGCCAGGATCTTACCTGCGTGGCTGTGAAGACAATGATGTGCTGGACATCGCGCCACGTGAGGCAGGGCCGCACCTGCAGCATGAGGGCTACCATGCCGGCTGCCAGAGGAGCTGCCGCAGAGGTCCCTGTGTGGCCCTCTGTGCAGCCGGTGCCCTTCTGCAGGTCCCAGTCAGTGGTCACCTGGGAAGTGGAGTGCGGAGCAGTGAGGGTGTTAGAGATGCGCTCAGACCTCAGATCAAGTCTCTCAGGTGGGCCTGGCTTGTTAGAGCTGTGTGTTTGACCAGAGGGGCCCACAAGCAGGGCTGGGAAAGGGGACCCTTAGTCCTTCTGGCCTCTGAGGGACCTCTGAGGAATCAAAATGAGTGGCTTCCGAGGGCAAGGCTGCAGGGGGAAGTATGACGGAGACATGCCAGGGGCCTTGGATGTTGCCAAGTTTTGTGATTCTTGCCCCCGTTCCCCCAATGCTCCACCCAGCCCCCCAACCCCCTCAAGGGGAAGTGGCCAGGGGAGCTGCTGGGCTCCCGCTGCAGCGTGTCAAGGAAGTCCCACTTGGCAGTTTAGGGACAGGGCTGGGGCAACACGCATGTGCACACAGCGCACTAGGGCTCAGCTGCGTCTAAGCAGCCTGCTTGCCCTTGCTCTATTGACCACACACAGGATGAGCTGCCGTCTGCTCTCGCTGGGGTCTCAGGTGGGATTCCAGGAACCCCCCTTTAACGCCCGCGGTTCTGACGTGAGACTCAAGCAGCAGAGATGGGATCTGCCTGGCATCAAGTTCTTTTCATGTCCCATCAATGCCAGAGTATCAGAGGGTTCAGCCGAAGAGGGCTCTGCCTCAAACTGCTCCTTTATGTGGCACCTGGATCCTTATCCCACGGTGCTGGTGCAAGACTGGAGACTTCCTTCCTTCCAGTTCTCCTCTAGGTCAGATACCAGGGTGCCAACTTCTGCCAAGAGCTGCCTTTTCTCCATTGTACTCACTGCTTCCCTCCCAGCTGTTACAGCAGCTGCCAAGAGATGCTGTTTTCACCCAGACACTGTGCATGCCCAGCAAGAACAGGAAAAACACTCTCCAAGTTGTAGTTTCAGCAAGAGCAGGAAGCTAGGGCTGTGCCAGGGAGCAGATTGATTTTTTCCTGTTAAGGAAACGGGCTCACAGTGACAGTCTAGTGTGCAGCTGTGAGCTTGCCCACGGAGGCAGGAGCTGCGTGGAGCCCGAGGAGAATCCAGGCAAGCTTCCAGGAGGCCAAACTGTGGGAAGTGTGTGCTCCCGTCTCTGCCCGCAGAGAGGCGGCTCCACCCAAGTGTCCAGGGCACTGGGCAGAAACTGGCAACAGAAGTTCCCAAAGCAAGGTCGTTCCAAAGATGGGAACTTGGCTACGTAAACTCGCTCTTCATTTCTGGCCAAATTATACTTCAGATGGAAGGCTGGGGAGAGGGCGAGAAGCAGAGCTGAGTCTGGAAGGGAAAAGCCAGGCGCTGCAGAGTGGCAGTGACCAATCTTTTCTGGAGCCTTCTGGGGGGCCCGGCTGGAGCAGGGAGAGATGGGGCTCGCAGAGCTCTGGCAGGGGGCGAAGACAGAGGGCGGTCCAGCTCTTCCTCCTACCCGAGCCTGACCAGGGGCAGGGTACCCTGCGGACACAGGCCCAGGCTGCCGAGCATGGCCTCGCTGGCTTTTCACTTCAGGCCACCCCCTTCTCTCCTCTCCCCGAGGCAGGGCAGGGTGGGAGGGAGGAGCTAGTGGGGGTCACCTGGCACAGAGCCTTGGAACATTGTGTTGACCAGAAGTCATTTACTGGCATAACAACATTTTAGTTTTGGAAAATGAACTTGACCCTGCGGGAAGACAAAGCAGCCTAATTCCCAGTGGCCCCAGAGAGCCCTCCCCACTCAGCCACCGGAGAAATCTGACACCAGCTGGTTGCAGCACAGCTCCTGCCTGGAGCCTCTGGTCCCCACTTTCTCTGCTACGGACCACAGGGACAAACATGAGGCTCTAGGACTATGGCCCAGAGACCTGGCTTAAACCCGCTGGGATGGAGCGCAGCACAGGAAGCTTCCAGGGTCCCAGGGGTTCCTGCTCCAATCACCCTGCCATGGCTCCAGTTATAGCTCTAGGCAAGAGCTCTGCCAGGCTGACAGGCGCCAGTCCTCAGGTTCCTCTTCCCACCCACCCCAGAAAGACCTGCGCCAGCTTTCCTGCTGAGGACGAACCTGACAGAACTCACAGTATTTACACAGCGGTTGAATAGCAATGCCGTGAGGCTCTATTTTTAAGCCCGTAGCAATAAGCCAAAGCCTAAATTCTACTGGGAAGGCATTTCAAAGTAGTTGTTGAATTAATACACTTGTTTCTATAACAATATGTATATTTGTTCCAAATTAAAATTATGAGATCAAAGTCATTCACAAGGATCTAGTCAGAGCCCTCAGCAGTCTCCCAGCAGAGGCCTTAAGAGGCTCAGGTCCTGGAGGGCAGAGGAGCGAAGAAACACACTGCGATGGCTGAGAGAGGGCACAGGGCCCGCGACACTCACAATGCTCCGGAGCATCTTGTCCCCACCACTGAAGGTGACCGCCAGCATGGAGGCACACTCTTCTGCGTAGAAAGGCATCCGGCCCTCCTCGTCCACAGCACCTGGCACCGGGGAGGGACGTGGGAGCGGAGGTGACAAGTCGGTCCTGCAGCAGGGGCCTGACGGTATCAGAGGCGGCTCTGAGTTATCACCTGGGGGCAGCCTTGAGCTTAGAAAGTGATCTGAGCTCGTCAGGGCTGGTGACACACTCCTGTAATCCCAACTACTGGGGAGGCTGAGGCAGGCGGATTGCAAGTTCAAAGCCAGCCCTGGCCAATTTAGCAAGACCTTGTCTCAAACAAACAAACAAACAAACAAACATGTTTTCAATAGTTTCCAGGGCAAAACTGAGTGCCTCCCACTTCTATCCTTAGTCATTCATTTTTTTTCTTACTATTTACTAAGCATCTGCCACATGGAAAATGCCACATCCTCATCTCAGGCAGGAAGTCGGGTAAGTAAATAATTATAGCTGCAGTGATAAAGCCTATGATTGGGAGCATAGGTAAAGGGCACTTCCTCAAGGCTAGTGAGGAATCGGAGAAGGCTCCAGGCGGAAGGCAAGTGGCCCCTGGAGTGAGAGACCACAGAAGAGACCTGACTTGTCAACATCGGGGTGGAGGCAGAGAATAGTTCAAAGTGTTCGCAGAGAAACCCTGACACCTCGGAGAGCAGGCCCAGTCCTATCCCAGCCCAAAAGGATGCCCTTGCTTACATATTCAGACAGACACACTGCAGCCGAGGCACACAAAGAGTCACACACACACGCAGAATCACTGGACCACTACCTATGGTGACGGTGTAGATGGAGTTGGCGTAGCCATCGTAGTTGCAGTTGTCATTGTGCTGGCCCCCGTTACCACTGGCCACCACGAAGATGCTCCCAAAGCCCTGGCGGCCGGCCATCACTCCGTGTTGCAAGGCAGCCTGCAGAGCCAAAATGTCAGGCTATCAGCTGAGGAGCTCATCAGAGCACCCCCACCTACCACACCGGTCACTCTTGCCTCCCCTCCTAGAAAGAAAAAGGAAGTAAGGTGCAAGGGGCGCTGGGCAAGGGGAAGAGATTTTCAGGTGGGTACAAAACGGGGAGGGAGGCTGAGCATGGTGGCGCATGCCTGTGATCTTGGGAGGCTGAGGCAGGAGGATTGCTGGGAGTTTGAGGCCGGCCTGGGCTACACAGTAGGTTCTAGGCCAGGCTGCATGACATAGGGAGACCCTGCCTCAAAAAAACAAAAAAGATGGGGAGGGAAGTTAGAGCTGAATGAAGTTGGACGGACGCACTTTGTTTATCAGATGACAGAGTGGGGCCAGGAATGATAGCCAAGAACAAGGTCAAAGGGAAGCAATCCGAAAACATCACTCCATTTCTCTAAGAACCTGGGCCCACTACCCGCTAGCCTGGGCTAGGTGTACACTTTCTGAAAGGAGGCCGAGGGGCTAGAAGGCCCTGGTGTGGCACTGTGGGTGAGGTAGGGGTGCAAGGCGGGATTGCCTGGGAGTAGTTTTTCTAGGGCCAGGTCTCCTGATCTCCCTCCGGTTCAGTTACCTTCCCGAGCTGGTGGGGGCCGTCCACCGTCTTCCCATCATCATCCGGGCCCCAGCTGTTGAGAAATGGCCACAGGGAAGAACCAGAGCCAGGCTCCCCTCCCCTCCCGGGGCCTGGGCTCTGCTGGCCACCCTGTCTGTGGCTCTTACTCTCTTCCCCAGGGTTCCAGTTCAGGACTCCCATGATTTTTTTTTTCTTTCTGGAGGTGCTGGGGATTGAGCCAGGGCCTCCAGCACACTTCCACTCTAAGCAAGCACTCTACCACTGCGCTACATTCCCAGCACTAGGATTCTGTCAGGAAAAGAGATAGGCTTCAGCGGTCCAGCCCTTCTCCAAAGTGGAAAACAGAAGACTGAACTAGCGTTCTTCTTTTCCCTGGAGACGTCCGCAGTATAGGGCTTCTTTATTCTGACCCTGGGCTCTGACCCGCGGGTCCCACTGACACGAGACAGCACACAGCTGTGGGGCAGAACAGGGTCACTCCTCGGAGCCTAGGCGTCGCCACAGGGCTGGAGGGCAAAGGCACCCACGAAGGGATGCTCCATGTGGGTTAGCTCTTCTCAGGCTGTGGAATTCTGCTCTTTGGGAGGAAATACTTTGTGGATGACATCAAGGATTTAAGGGGGACTGGCTAGGGGCAGGAGCAATGGCAGGGGAGCCACCCACCCCCAGTTCCTCCTGATCCTGCCCACCAGAGCCACAGCCTGAAGCTGCAGGTGCTTTTTTGTAGGGTGGCAGGGACAGGCACTGGGATTCATCTTGCCCATGGTTGGAGAAGCTCTGAGAGTTCAGAAAATTTCCGTGTGACAGGCCGGGCATTCCTAGTGCGGTAACCGCTTATGGGGATGACAGAAGCTTAAGACTGAGCACCCGTGGCCGGGCATCTGGAGAAAGAAGGGCAATGGCCTTATCAGCCGAACGCAGGACCCCCGTGTGGACCTGCCTGAGCCAGCCCATCTTGCTGTCCTTATGCTGGGGTGTTCATTCCAAGTGCTCCACCCTCTTGCCCTCTCACCTGTGCTGCCTCACCTGCAGCTCTGCCTCACCTGCAGCTGTAGATGTCATTGATCTGATAGTGCTTGTTGAACGCCACAGCCTCCATGCTGTCTGTGAGTGGCCCGTCCAGCACCCGGATGCCTAGGCATTGAAGATGCCACACCCTTACTCACACTGCCGCCCATGAAACTGCTAACTTAGCTGGTTCCCCTCACTGGGGGACTAGGCGGTGGGGGGCTACATGTGGGAGACTTACTTCCCCTGTTCCTTCTTTGGTACTTTTTGAATTGTCCCACATATATGTGTTACCTATCTGAAAAATGTTTTTATTATTGCGCCGGAGCTTAGACTGTGACGATCCTGGGGTTTTGCGGGAAAAGTAGGGATAGAATGTAGGTAACTCAGCGGGGCGTGGTGGTGCACACCTGTCATCCCAGGACTCGGGAGGCTGAGGCAGGAGGATGGTTGCGAGTTCAAGACCAGCCTGGGCCACAAAGTGAGCTCAAGGCCAGTCTGAACTGCATAGTGAGACCGTGTCTCAAAAAGACAAAAAGAAAAAAGTAGGTAACTCACTTCCTTCTTATCTTCACCCCTAGTCACATAGAACAACTAGTACAATACACGACACATAAAAGACGTTGGGTAAATGGTATTCATTACCAGCCGCACTCCCAGAGATAACTGTTTGCCCTCTAGGGTGGGGGTGGCATGTCTTGGTGACCACATAGGGACAATCAGGGCTTTCAAAAGGGACTAGGAACAGGACACAATTGCACACGCCTGTAATCCCAGCACTGAGGTGAGGTTGAGGCAGGAGGATCGCTAAGTTTGAGTTCTGCCTGGGCTACTCAGCAAGACTGTTGCAAAATAAAAGATAAAAAGGGCTGGAGATGTAGCTCAACGACAGAGCAGCCTACAGCTGACAAGGAAAGCAGAGCGGAGCGGTTTTGAACCCAAAAGTTTCTGGCCCTCTCTCTAACCTCATCCGCAGAGGACTGCTGCCTCCTGCTGGAGAATGAGAGGAATGCAGCCAGCCCACCGGCTCTAGAGGCTCTTGGGCACTTTTAGGAATCACCCAGAGGGATTCCTGCTCATTCCTTTCGCTTTCTGCCCTGAGGGACACAGAGTGAAGTGGAACCTCAGAACCGCTTCCAGTGGGGACTGGGCCGTCCAGCTCTTGAGTGGCTGGACAGCAGCTGTGACGGCAGAGGGGGCTGGACAGTGAGCCTGCGAGAGCAGGGTGCACAGACGTGGGGTCGTGGCGGAAGCGCTGCTGACAGGCACTTTGTAGACACGAAAATGCAAGCAAGGAGCTGTCAGGACGACTTGGGGGAGACTGGAGAGGTGGGGCTTTGGGACAGTGGCTGTGCTGCTAAAGACACGTTTAGAACATCACTGCGCTGAAAAACCAACCAGCTGTCCTACTGTCCTAAGGGAAAAGGGGTTCACCCTTTAGTGTAGGCTGTGTGTGCTGGGGTGGGAAAAAGAAGCTTGACAAAGGGATGGGGGTCCAGGAATGACTACTGCGCCCGGCAGAGCCTACCCAGGTCATCGGGCAGCTACCTGCTATGCGGCTCCCATAGGCCACGCCCACTGCACAGAAGCTGTTGTTGGGCACAGCAGCGATCTCGCCTGCACACCGCGTGCCATGGTGGTTGCCGTTCTCCACGTCCGGGTGGGGCATGGGGTCAGGATCGTTGGAGTTGAGGTCATAGCTACCCTCGGGGCTCTGAAATATTGAGGGACAATGGGCAGTCACTCACTGGTTAGAAGGAGGCGGGTCCTAGGGGGTCTGAGAGAGAAAGGAACTGCGAATTTGGGATTCCCAGCGGGGAAGCAGGCCCATCTCTCTTTCCAAACCACACAGGCTATGAGATCTGAACAGTGGACACTGGGGCAGAACTAGGAAGCGTCATGGCTCTTAGCAGATGTCTCTCTTGCCTATTATAGGAGTGGGCCCGCTGCAGAATGGCTTGGGCAGCTCAGGACAAGAGAGATTTCGGGTTATCTAATGATCACATTTTAGAAAGAACAAAGAGCCCAGAACTGTGGAGAAGGAAGCTGCCTACAGGGCCGCTCCTTACTCCACAGCAGGAGCAGCAACAGGAAGCAGGAAGTCGGGCTGGGGTTGCTCTCCCTTGGGGCTGGAGCACCTGCTGTGTCTTAGCTGCCAGGCTGGAAAGCTGGCTGGGAGAGGAGAGGAGAAAGCACCTCACCCCACCTCTGAGCTATTTGGTTTGGCTCAGTGCCTGCGAGGTGGGGAGTGAGACAGAGGCAGGGTGCAGCAGCTGCTAAGATGTGGACAGGGAGGTGGGTCCAGGCCACTCACATAGTTGGGTGCAATGTCCTGGATGGTGTGCTCCACTCCGTCGTCCACCACCACCACCGTCACCCCGCGCCCGGTCACATTGCGCTCCCACACACCTGTCACGTTGATGTCCCTGCCGGGGCTCCGCCGGTTATTCTGCAGGACACAGGTGGGAGCCCATGACACACGGTGCATCCCAGACAGACAAGTTACAGCTAGCGACCCCTTCTCATCTTGGCTTCTGCCCGAGAGCCAGGGAGATGCTGTGGGCCAACCGGTCACGGGGAACACAGCCAAGAGGGTCAGGTGACAGTTCCGCCACAGGCTTGGTCTCCAGGGACGTTTGGCATCACTTGTGGGTGACGGGGTGAAATGGGGGCTGAGGTAAGGGCTGGACAGCATAGTTCTTATTATTATAGTTATTATGCCAGTCCATAGCACATCAGGCACTGTTATAAATACTTCATGTGTATTTTCACTTGCCCTAACCAAAATCCCACAAGGTAGGTACAGCTACAGCCTCCCCTTTACAGATAGGGAAACTGAGGCTCACAGAGGCTCACACATGCTAATAAGTGGCAGAGCCTGAATGTGTGCCTGCGCGGCCTGGCTGCAGCCCGAGTGCCCAGAGCACTGCAGGACAGTGGCTCTCCAGACGGAGGACAGGCAAAGGAGAGGCTGAAGACAAACCTCAACCCTGGCCCCAGAGAGCCCCTTCAGGGGAAGGGTGGGTAAGAGAGGAGGGATTTGGTGAGAAGCCAGCAGAGAGCTGCACCAGAGCCTGCCCAGCGGAGACAGAAAGCTGCAGAGGTGGACTCACCAGGTGCCACTGCTGGGGGTACTTGGGGTCATTGAAGTGGACGCTGCGCTTGGCCCGCTTCAGCAGCCTCTGCTCTGAGTGCCAGCGCACAGCCTCGTGCCCAGCTAACACGGCCTCGGCCTGCTGCCGGATGGCCTGCACCTCCACGGCCTGCCTGGGCCCGGCTGGCTGCACAAAGAGGTAGTGGCCCCGCAGCTCTCCGATGCGCCCGGCGTTCACCAGCCCTGCTGCCTGCGCCAGGGCATCCGCTTGCTGCTCCAGATGCTCTTCCTCCCGATCGCCTCCCAGGCTGTCCAGGTGCACAGCCCAGCTGAGCCCCCCTGCGCCTTGGGCATCAGGCCCACCTGCCCCTGCCAAGCCCATGACCCAGGGAACCAATAAGAAGAGCCCAGCCAATTCCAGCCAGAGGCAGGTGGGCAGGCCCAGGGGGGCATCCAAATGTGGCACTTTCTGCCTCCCCTTCGGCATCAGAGCAGCGGGCTGCAGGCAAACAGAAAGGACAGAAAAGAGGTAAAAGAGCTGATGACCGCAGGAATCTGAGCGGGCGGCTTTGAGCCATCAGTGTGGCCCCCCAGAAACCCTCAATCTGCTCCTTTCACAGCCTTCAGCGTTTGATCCTCTCTTTTTGGTCACATTTTCTCGTGATCAACAAGGTCAGCAGCAGGTGGAGTGTGGACCAGTACTGACCACTGGACGACTTCCCACGCAGCACGGTCCAATCCCTAGTCCACCAGAGAGCAAGCCGTGCCCCGATGCTCACCCGCACCGCGCTGCTCTTCCCGCTGTCACAACTCAAGGGGTTCAAAGTACACACAATGCCCACCAGCGAGTGGCGGCAACTCCACTGTTCTCTGCCAGAGGATCCCGCCCCCTTGTTTTGAGGGGACCTGAACCTTTCATCCTAGCTGACATCTCAGTCTGGTTGTCCTCAATGGGCCCCATGCCCACCTGGGCTCTCTGTGACGTTGAGCTCCTGGTCTGGCTAACCACGTCACACTCATTTTGTGCAACTGGAGCAAAGGCGTCACCTTCGCTGAATAGTGTTGATTCTGAGCATAGGCTGCAGACCTGTGGGCCCCAAGAACAGAAGAAATAATGTCCCACCAAAGCCAGTGGAGCAAGCAGAGACTAGACACGAACCCCAGGACCAGTGACCACAAAAACTGTCCACTGATAAGTGCAATTTCTAGATATCTGAAATAGGCCACCTAGCCTGGTCTGGTCTGGTGGTGTTCACTTGTAATTCTAGCACTTGGGAGGCTGAGGCAGGAGGGTTGCCACAAGTTTGAGGCCAGCCTGGGCCACACAGAGTTCATGGCCAGCCAGAGCTACATAGCAAGAACCTGTCTCAAAAACAAACAAACAATAAAGTAGGCTATAGGTTGAAATGTATCTAGCACAGTAAGGCCAAATTGGTGAAAAACCCAGAAACCATACTTCTTGTCCTATTATTATTATTATTATTTTTTGTTGGTACTGGGAATCGAACTTATGACCTCAGGCTTGCTAGGCAAGCACTTATGCTGCTGAGCTACATCCCCAGCCCTTCTTGTCCTATTATGCCAGCTTTTCTCATTTGTTTTTCTAGTGGACTTAACTGTTACTAAAATCTCTCCCAAGAAAGTAGGCAGTTCAGTTCCTGAAAGTACAGGCAGCCAGCAGAGTGAAAGAGGAAAAAGCCAGAGAGACAGATAGAGATAGAGATAGATAGACATAGGTAGAGAGAAATAGAGATAGAGACAGAGATAGGGATAAAGACAGAGACAGAGATACAGATGTGTGTGTGTGGTGTGTGTGTGTGTGTGTGTGTGTGTGAGAGAGAAGGAGAGAGAGAGACAGAGGGAGAAAGGGACACAGGGAGAGGGAGAGAGGGAGAGAGAACGAAATGAAACTGAGCAGGCATACAGGGGAATCAGCAATGGGAGGGAAGAAACGACTGGACGCCTTATAGAGCCTTATAGAGCTGCTGCTGTAACGAGCTTGTCAGGCTGCTTGGGGTTGAGAGCTCAGGCTCCAAACTCAGCCTCCAACTTCCCACAGAACCAGAAAGTGGTCCTCAGAGTCCTCAGAAGACAAAAAGGGTCAAGTCAGAAGGGGCGGGCAGGTGTGGGGACAGGGACAGGTGAATGTGAGTACTGGGCTCCTTTAAAACCTCTGCGGTCTGCTGAGTCCACCCTGAGGGCAGCTGACTACTCAGACACACACTGAAATGAAAACAACCCAAAGCCTCCTAGAAAAACAACTACTTCGCTGGTGCTTTCTTGGAAAGAGAGGCAGTGTAGGCACCTACCATTTCCTTCCAAATGCCCCATCCCACATCTGTTCCCCTTAGGCTTTCGAGCATGGACTCGAGATTTCTCCCTGCCTGCCAGCACCCTCCACTGTCCCTAAATATTCCGGTGTCTCCCCTTACTGCTTCTGTTAGAAAGCTAAGAAGGCAGGAGTCTTCAGTTACAGTGGAGCCCACCACAGATTTCTGGAAGGAGAAACCCGAGCTCTTCCTGTCTCCCGGGGTCAGAGCACCACTGTTTGTTTTGTTTGTTGAGACAGGGTCTTGCTATGTAGTTCAGGATGGCCTTGAGCTCACTATATAACCCAGGCTGGCCTCGCGGCTATCCTCCTGCCTCAGCCTACCAGGTGCGGGGGTTACAGGCGTGTGCCACCACCCCCGGCCACAGCAGCATTTTTATCAACCAGGCTTCTGGGCAAGGAACTTTAAACACCCCGGAAGCAGAGCCCCACCACTCCCAAGAGCTAGGCCTACCTTTACAGGTTTAAGTGGTCAAGGAAGAAGGACAATTCAAAGTCCAACATTCTGCTCCTAAGCGACTGTCCTTGCAGCCTCCACAACCTTCTCCGGGTCACGAAGCGGGGCTACTTTCCACTGATCATTCCCTCCCCCGGCCTCGACGGCTCAGTGCCCCGCGCCCCGCTCCTCATGAGGACCTAGACAGCCCTGGAATCCCAGACCCTGGGGTCCCGTTCCACTGGGGTCCCCCATGTCAGGACAAGAGGCGTCCTCTGTGCAGCGCCCTCATCCTCAGACACCGGTTCCCCCGACTTTTGGGCCGCCCGGACTTCCAATGTCCAGCCCCCACCTAGTTTCTAACTCACCGGCCCGGCCGCAGCTGCTGCCGCCGCCTCCCTGCGGAAACTCGCGGCTTCCCGGGAGCCTGAGCCAGTGACAGCGGCATCACTTCCGCCCGGCGCCGCAGCCAATCAGCGGCCGGCTCTCTGCCCGACCGTCTGCCGGAGCAACCCGCGCCCGGGGCAGCGCCTGCAGGCGGCCTCTGCCGACGGGGCCTGAGGGCTGCTGGGCTTAGCTCGCGGGGCTTCAGCGCCCCGAGTCCTCTGGGCATCTTCTACCGCGTCCCTCCCAGAGGGTTCTTCTCCTTCGCGGCGTCCTCTGGAAAGGGCACCTCGGTCCCGACCTTTAAAAGTACCTCGTTGCTCTTCTTCCCCTGACCGCCATGGGCCCGACTCTCCCTGTCACCCTCCCAGAGGGGCGCCTGCCTCCATCAGGTCGCCTGTCTTCTCACGGTCAGAAGACCCACTTCGCTGCGCCCCCACAAAGGCCACTAGGATCTCAGGGGTCTCCCGCAGCAGCCGTCAGCCCCGGGCAGCGCCGGCTCTCGCCGCCAGGGGGCGCTGTCGGGGGCGGCGCGGAGAGTCGCGGCCTCTCCTGCCGCGGGCCGAGCCTCGCCCCCCGGCTCGT